CTTGACTGGCTTGTCGCGTGTGGTTGTCTCGAAGGGGTTGGAAGTCGGTGCATCCTCACCTCCAGTCAGACGGTCCATTGCATTCTGTCGATGTCTGTGGCGCTCGGCATCTTCGTCCTCGCTGTCATCGGGGACCCGTTTTTCTCGGGTGGCTAGTCTTAGGGCCAACTTTTGTCGAATACGAGCCATTTCTGTTTCCTCGGGTCGATCCTGCGGAGGTTGCGAGACCGAGGTGCCATTGCTTGCTACCTGTGATTTATAGCCGGGTGCAGAAGTGGGCAAAGGAGGCTGTGATGTAGCCTCTGAGGGCTGCTGCGTAGGCGGCGGGTTTCTGCGACGATACCGCGACATGCTTCTTTGAATAGCAGTGCTGCTATTATTGTTTGCGGCGGCGGCATCGGCGTTGGCGGCATGGTCATGCGACAGCGAGGCCGGAAGTGCAGCGATTGGCGGGTGAGCAAGTGGAGGTGGCGGGGAGTGGAATTTGGACGTTCCAGTTGGCGGTGGTGGTAATGCTGGTGGCTGTTTGGTCGCCGCCTTTCGTACACTTCGGTATCGCGAAAATTTCATGGGTGCTGCATGCTGGCCAGCAGACATCATGTCTGGTGTCTCCATGGTCATGGCTGGGAAAGAGTCCCACTGCGATTATAGGCAGAGAACCAAAGGGAAAGAGCCAAAGGTAGTAGAAGTAGTAGTTGATCGAAGTGTGGGGGAAAGGGAAAGAAACCCGTTCTGCGCTGCTGATCTATGAAGTGTAGATATACTGGTAGTGTAGTAGTATCTCAATTGCTGCCCAGGCATATGTTCTTTGGCGTCACACGGTCACAGAGAAATCGCAGAGCGTGAAGACTGTCAATTGCGTCAAGTAGCCGATGGCGCGCGTTTGGAAACAGGTTTTAAATTGCGATGGATCTTTTAGCTCTCTTTCCTTTTCCCTGTAAGGCCGAAAAAAAAGTCACTTGGCTGCTTTAGCTCCAACTGCCGCAATGACGATGATATCAGGCAGCCTGCGGTTTGTTGTTGGCAGCTGGGTCAGTCGCTAAGGTTCCGGAAGTGATCAAGTTGCAGCAACGTGTTGACAGCAGTCACTGAGAAAAGAGGACAGGATTTCACAAGGGAGGCAGAAAGGGTCTACTGGTCGATCCAGTCGACACAAGGGAGAAGGATTTGGGTCAAATAATGAGTGTTCGCGTGTCTCCACCCCCTAAACGTTGCAGGCATGTTTCACAGGGATACAATCACGGCTTCACTTGGAAACTTCCCCGTACAATGAGGGGGTAGAGAGAGGGTGGGGGGAAGTATGAGCAAAGGAGAGTTCTGTTTCTTCCTAGAGAAAAAATAGAACGCAGAAAGGGGGGGCGGGGAGAGGGAGGGGAGGGAGTTTCAAGAAGGAGAAGTGATGAATGTAGGTGGGCAGGCAGGAAGGAAAAAGGAAGGAAGGGAAGAGAACAGACACTGGACAGAAGCTGGTGAGTGTAACTGAGGGACCACGATGCTAGATTCCGTCAAGAACGCATTGTCCAGGCACTTTTTTGTGGAGAGCGGAAAACGGCCTCGCAACGAAAGGGTCTAATTTCCACCGCGGGACGGAATCAAGAAAGATAGTGGAGGGAGGAACTGAGCCCAAGAAGAAGCAATGCCAAACTCAGACGGACGGACAGAAACGAATAGGCTGCATTCAGACAAATCCGTTTCTATTCCTTTTTTTTTTAGTATTTATTTTTTTCCTTCTGGGTTTACTTTTTGCTTATTTCCCCTCTGAATTGTCTGTGGGTGGTGTTCTTTTTTTCTTTTTTTCTTTTCTTTTCTTGACCAGCACCTGCTCGATGTAAGGGGGGAGAAGGGCTTGGTGGAACTTTGAAGTAGCAAAGACGAAAGGGAAGAAGTCTTCAAAGGGACGGGAAGGGATTGGAATTTCCGATGAATAAGAATTTTACTATAGGTCAGGATACAGATCCCATTGGGCTGGCAGGTGATCCTGAACTCGAGATCTTAAATTAATTAAAATGTTCGTGTGATCTCAAGAGCATCCTCCATGACGGCTGGGGAAAGACAGCCAAATTGAGACCCAAAAAATTAAGATGAAAAATTGATAAAATTAAAATGAAAAGGAAAAAAAGGTCTAGACTAAAATAGAGATAGAGAGCGGCTGTTTTCGGTCAGGCTAGGCTTGGCCCCAGCATTTGCCCGCAATTGCCCCAGACTGTGAGGAACGAAAGTCAACTGGATTGCTAGAAGAGATAGACTTGCCTCTGCTCAGGGTTATTCTCGAATGATAGAGGATCTGCCTTCGACATGGGATCTCCGTTCACTATAAATACGATTATGCTTTGTGTCCACACTGAGATCGACTCTATAGTTCTGGATTGTTTGTCTATCAATCAACAATCAAAGTGATGGCTAGTAGATCCGAGTGGATCACTGCCATGCCATAGCCTCAGCCACCACCACTGACTACTTCCCGGCCCGGGTCTCATCCCCCCCTCACCCCCCCGGTAAATGCGCTATTTCTGAGCCACCCCCAAACTGTCAAATTCAACCCAGCTCGTCTTTCTCCTGATTGCTGGACAGCACACTAAAACACAAGTACTGTACAGTACAAACACAACTACAAACACAAGCACAACACAAGCACAAACAAACGTATATTGTATCATCATAATACATAATATTGCATGCTATTAGCGAGCTATTTCTCATTAGTCGGTGATTAACCAATAATCCATGGACATCGCGGTCGTTTGGGATGCAACCTCAAAAGGACTTTTTACCACCGCCAGCATCTCTATACCTCAATTTTCGTTTGGAATCCTTGGTGTTTTTAGGCCGCCACTCATTTCTTGTACGCTCCTAGGTACTTCCGCCTGTAATTCAGTGTTAGATTCCGCCACATACACACAAACATGTCAGGCGTCTACTTACCACCATGCCACAAAGTCCACAGTCCGAACTTCAATCCCCAGATCCTTCAGCACCTTAGTGGACAGATGCACGTCGTAGGGACGCTGCACGGCCGAGTTGGGGTCATTCCCCTCCTTGTTCCTGATCATCCCTACCAGGGACAGTCCGAGCACATCCGCTAGCTTCTCACAGATTTCGTACTTGGTCATCCGATCCTCGGACGAGAACTGCAAGATCTTGGGCAGCTCTTGGATGCGACGACGTTCCTTGATATACTTGATCACAATGTCACGGCACACCCGAGCGACGTCCTCCGTGTTGGTCGGGTACCGCTGTGCCCAGTCGTCCATCTTGATCCCCGCATTCTCATCTTGTGCTTTGTACACCGCATCGATTAAAGTGTTGACGGCGCTCTCTGAGTTGTCCTTGGCCACTCCGTACAGTACGGGCACGCGAAGGATCAGCCCAAGACCAGTCTCTTTCGTAGCCTCCAGTACTGCCAGCTCACCATCCCGCTTCAACCGGCCATACATATTGGGCGGATTGGTCTCCGCGTCGGCCTCGTACGGGGCTTCCCCCTCAACTCCGGGGAAAACGTAGTCGGTCGAGATGTAGATGAGCAGGATACTACGGCGCGACGTTTCCTCTGCGAGAACGCGGGTGGCGTCAACGTTGACTCGACGCGCTTGCTCAGGGTTCTTGTCGCACAAGTCGGGAGACCGGTTGGCGGCACCTGCAAAGGTCAGAATCCAAGCAGGGACAAATCAGTTGCTTTTGCAAGCCTGGCATCACGTACAGTGGACAACGATCTGAGGCCTACAACAGGTCAGTATTGGCATTGGATTCCACTAGAGAAATTGTGGTGCACAAATTACAGCTTCAGTCGGGCAGAAAAACTTACTTCGCCTCGTCAAGGAGAGCTTTGATCGCATCGGGGTTCTCCAAGTCAGCCTTCTGTATCGTGGGTGGGATGGCTCGTGAGTAGCCTTGGCCGACGACAAGGCATCCGGAGTGCTTGAAAGTATTGAAGACCTGGCGGCCCAAAAGGCCAGTGGCACCGGTAACAAGAACACAGGTAGACATGTTTGCAATGGGGTTGTCAGAAGAGGACATGATGGAAAAGAATCGAGCTTTGAGAAGCTGGGACGAGGAAGAAGAGATTCTGGTCGACTGCGGGGCACCTGTAATGACGTAACAAGAACCGCGTGGTGGTTTCACTCGAAAAGACACACCGAAGGGAGACGAGATCGGGTCTGGATCGAGGGATCGCTGGTTCGATGCTTCGATGAGGGTCGAGGAAGGTCGATGGGCGGTGGATTCCTGGAGAGCTGTCCTCCGCGGCGACTGTGATCACTGATCAGGTACCCTGGAGGGCTATTATTCTTACTGCATCGGCTTATTGATCGAGGATGACGAGGGAGATGACACAAACGTCCAGTGACGGACGGGCTTGGCGACGCTTGTCGCTCTTTTCCCTCAACAGGCATCGCTGCAGAAGGACCGTTGGGCTTCCACCTGGCAGCCATGATGCTTGTCGCTTGTTGTTGCCCCTCGCCCTTGGTAGGTGTGATCAGATCCCGATTGAGCACTGGTCAATTAATGGATCGTTGAGATGGAGGAGGATCACCATGTGACGACGAGGGTACATACAGTACAGACAAGAATACGAGTGCTCACCTTGTTGAAAATCGACTGGCTCAAGCTGGATAGCTTCTACTGGGAATTTACCACGTGGTTCTACTTTTGACATATGTCAGGTGTATACTGCATATACTTCGTTGAATTAACTTAGAGAACAGAGTAGTTTAAGCTACCCACTGCTTAACTCTATCGACCACCAACTTCAGTTCGAGGCAAGTGATTAATTACTTACGTACTATTCAGGTTCCCGCGGATCGGACCTTTTCTCTGCCTGAGGCCACGACATCCGTCGGGACGGAAAGACCGTTCGGCGCCGCTGACTCCAAGCCGAGACGACGACTCCATCTCCGCCATCGGGGGGTAAGTTAGGCTTTTTAGATGGCCGCTCGCCGCTCGCCGCTCTATTGACTCTTCCAGTGCCTTTCTCCTCTCCCTCACCTCCCACTCCACACCCCACCATGTCCGGTGCCAGGAATATTTCAGTCGCTCTGCGAAGGGCTCGTGTGCCCAAGCCTCGCTGCTTGTTCCGCCCTGTCGCTGCGGTCCAGACTCCCTCCTTCGCCGCCACACGCACCTTCACTGTTACCGCCAGCGCCAATGCGACCAAGGAGATTCAGTACACCACCAATGCTTATCCCAACCTCAAGCGTGACCCGAAGTTCGCCGAAATCTCTGCCGACGATGTCAAATTCTTCAAGGAGTTGCTGGGCGCACAGTCCGCCGTGATCGATGGAGTGACCGCCGACAACGCTGATGATATCGAACCCTTCAACAGCGACTGGATGCGCAAGTACCGTGGCCAGACCAAGTTGGTCCTGAAGCCCCAGACCACCGAGGAGGTTAGCAAGGTGCTACAATACTGTAATGAGAAGAAGTTGGCTGTTGTGCCCCAGGGAGGCAACACGGGATTGGTCGGAGGCTCCGTGCCCGTCTTCGACGAGATCGTCATCAACCTTTCCCGCATGAACCAGATCCACTCCTTCGATGAAGCGTCCGGAGTCTTGGTGGTTGACTCTGGTGTTATCCTGGAGGTAGCTGACCAATACTTGGCCGAGCGGAACCACCTTTTCCCGCTGGACCTGGGTGCTAAGGGCTCATGCCATGTCGGCGGTAACGTTGCCACCAACGCCGGTGGTCTGCGTCTGCTCCGCTATGGCAGTCTTCACGGTACTGTGCTTGGTGTTGAAGCGGTGCTGGCAGATGGAACCGTCGTGGATGCTATGTCGACCCTGCGCAAGAACAACACTGGCTATGACTTGAAGCAACTGTTTATTGGCGCCGAAGGTACCATTGGCATTATTACGAAGGTCTCTATTCAATGTCCTTCTCGCCCCAAGGCCGTTAACGTCGCGTATTTCGGAGTGGAGAGCTATGACCAGGTCCGCAAGGCTTACCAGGAGGCCAAGGGACACCTGTCCGAAATCCTTTCCGCTTTCGAGTTGATGGATGGGCGCACTCAGAAGCTGGTTCACGAGTCGACTGGCAACAACTATCCCCTCGAAACCGAGTATCCTTTCTACTGTCTGGTGGAGACCAGTGGTTCTAACGCTGAGCATGATATGGCTAAGCTGGAGACCTTCTTGGAACACGTCATGGGTGAGGGCATTGTCGCGGATGGTGTTTTGGCTCAGGATGAGACTCAATTTCACTCGATCTGGCGGTGGAGAGAGGGTATTACGGAGGCCTTGAGCCACTTGGGCGGGACCTACAAGTATGACGTCTCCATTCCTCTGCCCGAGCTGTACCAGCTGGTTGAGGACTGCAAGGAGCGTTTGACGAAGCTTGGCTTCGTGGGAGATGACGATTCCTTCCCTGTTCGGGCCGTTGTCGGCTATGGTCACATGGGTGATTCCAACCTGCACTTGAACATTTCTGTGCGGCAGTACAACAAGGAAGTCGAGAAGGCCATCGAGCCTTGGGTGTATGAGTGGATCCAGCAGCGCAAAGGTAGCATCAGCGCAGAACACGGCCTGGGTCTGGCCAAGAAGGAATTCATCGGATACAGCCAGAATGAGACGATGGTGAAGTTGATGAAGCAGTTGAAGAACTTGTATGACCCGGTAAGGATCATTATGCCCTGTTAATTTTCTTGCATTGTGCGTTGAGACCTAAACTAACTTGCTGTTCGATACAGAACGGAATCATGAATCCGTATAAGTATATCTAGAACCGGACACGCTACCCTGGCACCACGCGATGAATTGTAAATGTGTTGCAGAGGGGTTTGAGGGTGGGAAAAGCTGGACCAAGTTTATAGTCTGAGGAATCTGTAAAATATACCAAAGCGGATATTTAATTTGCTGGATCATATTTCTCCATACCGATGAAGTCCTGCTGACCTCCCCGTACCTGGCGGGCTGCATGCCCCATCTGCATCACTTGCACCATGCAGGGCTGGGGTACTGCGGGTTGCGGTCTTGCAGTCGTGCCTGAGGCAACAGCCGTAAACGGGGAATTTTGCACCCAATCAAGGCCGGGAATACCAGCGGTCCTGCGGTGCCCGAGGCGGTGACTCGGTAGCTGATCATGGATCCATGGTTGCCATGCACTACCACCGCCTGTTGTCTCTGCCGCGTACCATGGAAGAGGAGCGGCTGCCAGTAGTAGAAAAGAATGGGGCACTTTCTGGTCACTGGGCTGAGACTGTGAGAGGACGGTTGTAGTAGTCTAGGTATCGATCCTATCGAAGCACTCGCTATCTTCCCACTTCTTTCCCCCTCATTTCTCTATCCTCTATCTACAGGGCCAGGTTCCACTCGTCCTTGCTCCAGCTCCAGCTCCAGCTCCATCCGTCCTTTCGCCGGACAGGAAATAAATAGCTGACTGGCGGTGCGGGTGCCCTCCCCCCCCCCTTGTGTGCCCTGTTTTAGCTCTCCTCTCTTTTCTTTTTCTTCTTTTTTGCTTCTTTCCCCCTTCTCTTTTCTATTTGTTTCTCTGAGCTATCTCTCCCAGATTCTTCACCTGCGCCGATAGCCCTCCAGCTACGGCTTGCACGCGACAAAAATGGAGGACGATATGGCAAGTCACTACCAGATGATGGAAGAGCTGGGCAGTAAGTCTTTGCCTTCCAATTGAGCCCATTGCGCCGATGACGATGACGGCTGACCAGCATGCTACAGGTGGTAGCTTTGGAACGGTATACAAAGCCATTGACAAGGCTACGGGCGAGATCGTAGCGATCAAGCATGTGCGTGTGACTGGTCTCTTTCTTTGTCCGATCGTCCGATTGACCACTTTCGGCCTTTCTAGATCGATCTCGAGTCCAGCGAAGATGATATCCAGGAAATCCAGCAGGAGATCTCGGTTCTTGCCACCTGCGCCAGTCCATTCGTCACGCAATACAAGGCTAGTTTTCTTCGAGGTCATAAGTTGTGGATTGTCATGGAATTCCTCGGTGGAGGATCGTGTCTGGACCTGGTAAGAACCCACCCAGCACCTCCGCAGCTGAGGAGTCAGCTCAGCTCCGTCCCCTCCGCTAATACTCCCTAGCTCAAACCCGGAGTCTTCAACGAAGCACACGTCGCCATTATCTGCCAACAACTGCTACTCGGACTCGACTACCTGCACAGCGAAGGCAAGATTCACCGCGACATCAAAGCCGCCAATGTACTTCTGTCGCACACGGGCAAAGTGAAGCTAGCGGATTTCGGGGTTGCCGCGCAATTGATCAACATCAAATCCCAGCGCAACACATTTGTCGGAACACCGTTCTGGATGGCCCCGGAAGTCATTCAGCAGTCTGGGTATGATTATAAGGCGGACATCTGGTCGCTCGGAATTACCGCAATCGAAATGATCAACGGCGAGCCACCCCATGCGAGCACCCATCCCATGAAGGTGCTCTTCCTTATTCCCAAAGAACCCGCCCCGCGCCTACAGGGAGATCAGTACAGCAATACCTTCAAGGACTTCATCACACAGTGTTTGACCAAAGATCCCGATCGGCGACCGAGCGCGAAGGAGCTTCTACGGCACAAATTCATTCGCAATGCGGGAAAGACGGAGGCACTACAAGAGTTGATTCATCGCAAGCAGGATTTCGATGCTGGACGAGGAGTGACCCACAAGATTAAGTATTATGCGGAGTCGCTGTATGCAAATCCAAGTTCCATTGCCCATGCTCTTCGTACTGACTGTTTCTGTCGCACAGGAATACTATTCGGAACCTGAACGACGACGATGGGTGGATTTTCGACACGGTGAAAGCTTCTACAACGACTATACGTGAAGTCGAAGACGACGAGGAGAATGAGCCCGAGCCCGAGCCACAGGAAGACTGGGTTTTCGACGAAACCGCCGACCTGATGGACGATCTTTATGTGTCCAGCCCTCCGTCAAAGCATGCGACCAACACAACAGTACGACGAACTCAAGCTCCCGACCACAGCCCATCAATTCGACGGGCCAAGCGACGGTCGAGTGGAGTGAAGCAGCCTCTCGGAGTGGATATGAGTTTCGGCAACAGCCCATCGACGGTGCGGCAGTTCCGTCGGGTGTCGGACAACAAGAGCCCTAGCGACGCATCTTACCCGCCGCAGTACCTTTTCGGAGGGGATGAAAATGCTAGTCCGAAGACGCTATTCTCCGAGCCGAACAGCAAGGAAGCACAACTGGGGCGTCGGGCGTACAGCAAGGCGGTCGGGCTCGCCTGCCAGGAAGTGTTGGGGACCACGGGCGACCAAGAGAAGCGGGAAGCGATCTCACGGCTGGCGGAGGCCTGGAGTGATCTGGAGATGGTCGATCCCGAGGGACTCTATCATATCCTCCGGGCGACGACGGAGAAGCTACAGAGGTAAGCGTGCCTCCCGTGCCTCCCGTGCCTCCCCTGCAGTACTAGTACTTGTCAAATAAAGTTTCTGGGTTGCTAACAACGCTCGTGTTGGTGGATGGTTTAGTGACCCGAAGCTGGCCAGTCTCGTCCCACCCGCAGCTCCACCGGGCGATTCCCCACAGAGGCCGCGACTGGTTTTGGCGCAGAGCAACCCACACCTCAAATCCCACCGGCGCCGCCAGAGCGCCGCCGTGGCCGAGCCTAGCCTTCAACCCACCCAGCTTGCAAACCTCCCCGGGCAACAGGTGCCGGGGATGGAACACACCAAGCAGTTGTCAGACGTGCTCTATCAGCGTTGGTCCGAAGGCCTGCGCAATCGATGGCCCGGAATCTAGAATCGGTTCGCTGCATTTTCTTCAACCCCTTGCATACTGCGATCTGGAGATCTCGAACCCCACGAATCTCAGCGCGAGACAACAGATTCATCATTGTACAAAAATTTGGGCTCACATGAGGCGTTGAAATATTCGGCCACCTGGCCGCCCGCGGTCTTTTCTTTCTATGCGCTGTTTCTTTTCCTTCATTGTTGCATTATTCCCCCTCACTTGGTATTGTTTGTGCTCTCATGGCCTGTTGACACACAGGTCCTAATCTCTCGCACTTCGGGTCCGCTGCTGGTCAACCAGACCCAAAGGAGACATTTTCGGACGACGATATACCCCAGGCTCGTCTCGTCTGGCGAGAGACCGACCATGAGGGCACCGTGGCCTCTCTTTGACATCGGATCTCTTTGCGTTTGTGATACTTGGTCAACCAACGACTATAATTTCCTATGTACCAATTGACAGTCGGATAGGGCTCGGTTCCGGCGTTCAGAACTTTTACTGGTTATATTTCTGCGAAGCCGATATTCTGGCGAGCTTGTGATTTACTATTCATTCTTTTCTTGTCATAGGTTCTCCTTGTGTGTCTACATGTGTTTATTTTTGTTGGACAATTTTCTGGCAAGGTGTGAGATATTAATTGGTGGGATTTGTAAGTAAGGCGAAGTTGATTCTTGCATGCGTGCGTGTATATGAAATTGTGGACATAGTAATGCAATTGGGCAATTTTACAACCCCCCTCATTGCTATGGAAATAAAGACAGGGGAGGGCCAGAAGCAGGTAAAGATAGACGGAGCAATCAAACTGGCCACCCGCGTGGAGCGACTCGTGCTGGGCAGTATTTGGCGGTTTCAGCTTGGGGGCTGTCTGTCAACCACATGATGATCCTTATCAGTTGCAGTTTGCACGCATGTCTTGGGGTTGTAGGTACTCCGAGTATCTAGATATCTTTTGGGTACACTAATCTGTGCAAATTATGGCAAGGCAGACGTCACTACGGAGTGGCAAAGAACATGCTCTCTGTCTTTCTCTTTCTCTCTCTCTCTCTCAATTTCCCTCTCCCCTGAGACGGGAACTGGAAGAGGCGGAGGCGGAAGGGATGCGCGTTGCGACCCGCTACCGAAATCACCGTCTTTTACTAAGTCAACTGAACTTCACCCAACGACCCCCCCCCGTGTTGGGTCTAGTCCTTCCCTTCCCTTACCTACTCTGTCTAAACTTTCCCTCGCTTCCTTTTCTCCTTTCTTCTTCTTCTCCCTTTCTTCTCTGCTTCTAATCCCATTGTCTTTCCGTTCCGTGTCCAGTCTGGTTGCTGCCCACTGTCCTTTGTGTTGTTATTGTTGTCATTGATGATTGTGATTGTTTATCACTGCTGACGGGCCCATACATACATACATACGTACATACATTCTTTTCTTATCAGCCAACAATTGCAATTCCCCTCGACTGTGGCGGTGGGCCTCGCATTTCTCTCCTCTACTCCTCTTCCCCCTCTTCTCCCAATTCCAAGGGAATGAATGTCATGAATACGCTCTTGATCTGTCAATAAAAAATCCCGAACCCTGATCAGCTTCGCGCACGACCTCCATACGCTGGCCCGTCATGGGGGATTTCCCGGGAACGGGCGAGGCGGAAACTGCGCCGGAAACGTCCCAAACAGCGCAGCTGCTGCCATCGTCGCCTGACCAGCTCAACCATCACCCTCACCCTCACCCTGCGTCGCCGACCGGCCGGACTCCCACCCAACTCAAGCGATCTTCCCTCCCACCTCGCCCCCATGGTGCTGCCAGACACGCCAAGCGACTCACACTCAACTTTCCCATCAACATCCCCTCCGGACCCGAAGCTTACGACCTCAGTCTTGCGTCTCCCGGATCGATGACGCCCGTGACACGGACCTCCGCTCATCATTCGCCGGCCCCCCATCTCGGCACCCCGCTGGCGTTTGAGGAGAAGGATGACGGCTCGGGTCTGCTGACCGCGATCGCCTCTCAGGAGAGAAAAGTGCTGGAGCTTCGGGAAGAGCTGAACCGGGCCGAGACGGAGCTGGACTCTTTGAAAAAGCAGTGGGCGTCGACCGAGAAGACAAAGAAACGGACGGAGATCAGCCATCGCGCCGAGCCGTTGGTCTCCCTGCGATCCCCTGACGAGCCCACTTTCCCACATCGCCGAGACCACAGTGTGAGCAGTGCAGGCAGCTCGTCGGCGGCCCAGGTCCGCCTCAGCCGGGAGCTGGAGCGGCGGCAGAGCCTCCGCGCGGCCGCGACCAAGGGCACCAACGTTTCTGCCAACGGCCGACGGGTTTTCCGAGGTTCCCACACTCGGGCCCTGTCCTTGCTTTCCCCAACGACGGGATCTGGGGAGAGCAAGACGGGGTCAGAGTCGGAGGCTGGCAGTCAACGGATCGGTCGGTCCCCGCGGTCGGCGACCTTACCCTCTTCTGTCGAACGCAATGCCATTGCGGGTGGCGTGAGCTCGAAACCTGCAGATGACGTGATTTCGCAGTGGCGGAACACCATGCCGCCCCCGTCGCGCGATGCCCTCGTGCGGACCGGCAAGCAGATGGCATCGGATTTGAAGGAAGGACTCTGGACGTTCTTGGAGGATATTCGACAAGCTACGGTGGGAGAAGAGGGAATCAGTGCGACCGAGTCGCGGGGTGTGCCGCCGGTGCGCCAGCGGGTATCGTCCAGTTCGACATCGCGCAGTCGGGATCGGTTGTCGGTCTACGGAGGGGCTACGCTGTCGCGGTCCTCCTCGGGGAGCAAGGGGTCTGGGGGCAAACATTCTGGTAAAGAGTCTAAACCGGCGGATATCGATTCGTCGTTCTGGAGTGAATTCGGCATTGATCCACCTGGGCAGAAGTCCCCTCGCGCTCGCGGAGCCGCCACTACCCCAAGCGGGCCGAACGAACCCCGATGGGGCGACCACAGTAACCCCCCGGACGTTGAAGACAACTGGGAGTGGGAGTCTCCGAAGCCGAAGAAGACGCACACGCCGTCGTCCAGCCGCAGCACATTGGAGACGAAGCATGACCAGTCGCCGATGACGCAGAACAGCAGCCCCCGCACCAGCGCCAGGTAAGTCTTGTCTTTCATTCTTGGAGGGTATCATCCTGACGGAAACCACCTAGCTTTGGCGACTGGCGCCCGCTGCACGATACCAGCGTTCCGGATCCCAGCGTTTCCGACGGGATTCCCTGGCCGGCGATGACCAAACTGGCGCCGTCGAAGTTGACCCGCACGGCGTCGAACCTGATGGCGGAGTGGGAGCGCAGTCTGAGTCCCTCGCCGGAGAGGAGGGAAATCTTCCCCGACAAGGACGACAAGCGGGATTGATTCCGGCACATTGTAAATACAGCACATGAGGCTTGCGCCCTGGATCTTGAATCGAACGGTAGACGATGGGCTGCAGCCATCGGACATGAAGCCAATACGGATTTACGCAGGGTTATGATTGTTGGTCGCAATACCCTTTACGATGAGCGTTTATTACATTCTTTCACTCGTTGACTTATTTTGGCTTTGATGGCTTTGGATATACGGCCGTGACTGTTGTCTGTTAGATATAGCTGATACAAATGATTTGACAAATAAACCGTATGATTTACCGGGTATTTCCTGCGCCAATGTCGTTTGTAGATTCCTTCACGGAGTACGGAGTACGGAGTATAGATTCCTGTCAAGATGGTATCACGTGAAACCTGCGCAAGTGGGCGCAACGGCGCGCCGTGAATAAATTTGCGCGAGGGCCGCCACTCCGTCTCCGCAAAAAGTCCGGGGCGCGATAGAGAGCTCGGTATCGACCATCCACTCCCTCCATCCTCACTTTGTCATATCGGCTGTCTCCACCGTTGACTCCAGTACCTCAAGTCAACACCTCATCCACTTTGACCACGCACAGCATGAGTTTCCCCAGCGTGACCCCGCCCCTCGGAGGGATGGGCAGCGGCCCGAACATGCAGGGCATGAGCGAGCAGGAGCAAGCGATGGTGAAGCTGGTACGCTTGACTTGAAAACGAGTCCCTCCCAAAGAGAAAGAAAAAGAAAAGGGTTGCTGACTTGAATTCTCCGGAAATGCAGATGTACGGCGCGATGGAATCCTGCCCCGTGAAGACGGTCATCTCGGGTACGATGGGTTTCGGTCTGGGTGGTGTGTTCGGTCTGTTTATGGCTAGTGTATGTTTTGCCTCTCGTTCCTCCTACCCCTACCCCGTTCACATATATATCCTTGCGAGGAAGTCGGGAAGGGCTAGACGGGACACCGGGATGGGATTGCTCTGTCAATCTCGCAGCCTCAGCCTCAGCCCTCAGCTCGCAGCCCTCAGCCCCTAACACCACCCAACAACCACTAACAACCGAATGAACAGATGTCCTACGACTCCACCTTCACCCCCCAAGGCAAAGCGATCATGGACCTCCCCTGGCGCGAACAGGTCCGCCGCGGCTTCAAGGACATGGGCTCGCGCTCGTGGTCGTCGGCCAAAAACTTCGGCATCGTGGGCGCGCTCTACTCGGGCACCGAGTGCTGCATCGAGGGCCTGCGGGCCAAGAACGACCTCACCAACAGCGTCGCGGCGGGGTGCATCACCGGCGGCATCCTGGGGGCCAAGGCCGGCCCCCAGGCTGCTGCGGCCGGGTGTGCCGGTTTCGCGGCGTTCAGTGCCGCCATTGATGCTTATATGCGGATGCCGGCGGATGATGATTAGACTCTCTTTTCAATGATGGGGGTGATGGAAGGGTTGGTGGTGGTGGTGGTCGCTGCTACTTGTACATGTTCCATACATGGGTTGGCGTTAAGTCTTTTCTTCGGGATAGAAATGGGTGCATGATGGCGTTTCGTTCTTCGTGCTTTTTTTTTTATTGTCTGCTGCGGCTGCTTTTGTCTGGTCTATGGACTCACTACTCTTGTATAGTATTACTATTTCCCCACCGATACACCGGCTGAACAAAACATGATTCGTTATCTATTCACATGCACGCACTCTACTATACAAACATCTCCCCACCTAAGGCAGCACAATATACTTCTCCAAGTGCTTGGGAACCGCCGTGCGCAGCCCCTTACCCTGCAGCCAGGAGTTGGAGAACAGACGGTCGGCGTAGCGGTACGCGCCATCGCACAGGACGGTGACGACGGTGCTGCCCTTGCCGAGCTTGAGCGCGACCTCATGCGCCGCAGCGACATTCAGCGCCGAGCTGGCGCCCAAGTACAGCCCCTCCTCGTCGAGACAGCGATACACCATCTCGATCGACCTCTCATCGGGGATATTCAACGACCCATCCAGCAGCCCGATATCCGGGGACAGATTGTCCGTCACCCGGCCCTGCCCGATGCCCTCGGTGATACTGCTGCCCGCCCGCTCGACCAAGGTGCCGCCACTCTGGATGTAACTGTGCAGCACGGAGCCCGGGGGATCGGCCAGGAAGCACTGGACCCGGCCGTCGCTCACCGTCTTCAGGTACCGCGTGATGCCGGCGAGCGTGCCCCCGGTGCCCGTGGCGCAGGTGAACGCGTCCAGACCGCCGGCGGTCTGGGCCCAGATCTCCGGGCCGGTGGTCTCGATGTGCGCCTGGCGGTTGGCCGTGTTGTCGAACTGGTTCGTCCAGACGGCGTTGTCGAGCGCCTCGGCGTGCCGCCGCGCCTGGTGGTTGTAGTTGGCCGGGTTGTCGAACGCGACCGCCGGCACCGGGTGCACCTCCGCCCCCAGCAGCCGCAGCAGGTCGATCTTCCCCTGTGACTGCGTGTCCGGCATGTAGATCACCAGCTTGTACCCCTTGGACCGGCACACGTGCGCCAGCCCGATCCCCGTGTTGCCCGCCGTCCCCTCCACCACCGTGCCCCCCGGCTGGAGGAGCCCCCGCCGCTCCGCGTCCTCCACCACGAACAGCGCCGCCCGGTCCTTGACGCTGCCCCCCGGGTTCTGGAACTCCGCTTTCCCCAGGATGTTGCACCCCGTTTCGTCGGAGAGGCGCTTCAGCCGGATCAGTGGCGTGTTGCCGATGGCTGTCGCGGGAATTAATCAATTATGTGTTGGGTTATTTGGGGTAAAAGGCGGCCGGAAGTACGGAGTCCATGTACACATACCTTGCGTCAGACCATTGGCGACACCCTGGGTCTGCGAGACCCGGACGTTGTAGGCGGCCGCGGTGGTGGATGAGGAGGCTTCCGCGGCGCGGAGAGCGGTCGTGCCGAAGCGGCGGATACTCTGGCGGAACATTGCTGCTTATTCTGGAGAGTATGGAGAGGATAAGTGCAGCTGATGAGGGGTGCTCATCCTCATCATCCATCATGACGGCCAGGGCCGATGGTCGGCGTTAGTCAGCGGGGATCACGTGGACGATGGCGTGATCGCTGGGTGGACTAGACTGCGTTGGGGCTAGACTCGGGGTCGGTGAGATCATCGAGGTCGCTTGCCAGTTGTTGCTGTCCTGGACTCGTATAACCCATGCATCTACAATGTCTGATGTCTAGGAGAAGTGTCATCGATTAGGGTTCACGGACGAGTAACTCGAATCTCGGATGCAGCAGAACGGTACCCAATGATCCCGATACTTCCCCGCAGTGCTCTTCGTATCCCGATCCCAAACAATGCAGCCCATGCATCATCACCACCTATTTAACTGTAAAGTGTAGCCATCTACAACCTCTGTAACTCCATCCAACCACTTCCTCTAACCCAACCACAACAACAACACCCATACCAACCACAGACCCATAACCCCCGGGAAAATGCGCATCCTCATAGCCCCCGCCTCCCCGCAAACCGCCCAAGCAACCATCACCGCCCTCCTCGCCCACCCAGACACCAACACCAACTACATCCGCGGCCTGTACCGCAACTTCCACCGCGTGCCCCCAGCCCTCCAGAACCACCCGCACTTCGACCCCTACCCGGGCGACCTGACCGTGCCCGCGACGCTGAACTTCCACGGCTTCGACACCGTCTTCTTCGTGCTGCCGCCGTGCCTGGACGGCCGCACACCGCTCGACGAGTGGGCCACGACCGTGTCCACGAACATCCGGCTGGCGATCCAGCGCTCCGGCACCGTGCGGCGGCTGGTGCTGCTGTCGAGCTTGGGGGCGGAGGTCGGGGCGGGCACCGTGCGTTTCCCCTTTCCTTTCGCTTGCCTCTCATCCTGGCGCTGTTTTGTGGTCAACTTGGGGGTAGCTCTCGCGCTGTTTTGTGATCAGCTTGGAGGGTGGATTGAGGATTGAATAGAGCTACCCAGCTAACGGAGCCTACCATCCCTGAATGGATGGGGAGGCAGGGCGAAATCATGACGAACCACATCTCGGAGGTGATCCTGCGCGACGCCGCGGCCGAGGTGACGATCATGCGGTGCGCGTACTTCATGGAGAACTGGGCGACGGCGGTGCAGGAGGTGCGGCACAAGGACCATCCGTTTCTGGAGACGGTGATCACGCCGGTGGAGTTTGAGGTGCCCATGGCAAGGTCCCCTCCTTTTCATTCTGATGCCAAAAAAGGAAGGTAGGGGCAGGTGGTGCTAACGCCCGGAAACCAGGTCGCGGTCAAAGACATCGGCTACCACAGCGCGAAATGCATTCTGTCCACCGAGACGGACCGGGCAGGGTCATCGTCGCCGTATGTGTTCGAGCTGCACGGGCCGCGCGAGTATTCGTCCGTGGATGTGCAGCGGGCATTCGCCAAGGTGCTGGGCCGCGAGGTGGAGCTGCGCCCCGTCGCGAAGGAGGATCTGACGGAGTACTTCGGGCGGTTCTTGCCGGAGACTGCCGTCGGGCCGTTCGTGGAGATGACGCTGAGTTTCCTGCCGGGGGGCGTGATGCATAAGCAGTATGAGCAGAGACACGATGTGCGGGTGGTGCGGGGGGAGGTCGAGCTGGAGGAGGTCGTTGCGGGGCTGTTGGGCGAGGAGGGGAGGAAGTATTTTGATGATGTGCGGTTGTAGGTTTTTGACGGGGGGGGGGGAATGGCTGGCGTATGGTTTGATGGTTGCTTTGGGATGGTTTATGCTGGACTTGCGTCTCTGAGACTGGGCGAGGAGATGAGTTTGATGTATAGTGCTATGCTGTACTGCACTTATTCACGTGGCGCAATTGACCTTTCCTATTCCTTTGCTTTGGTTCTTACGCTCTGTTTGTCCCTGTAGTATATCTGCTGGCTAGTCGTGGGGACCGAGTCGGAAAGCTTCTCATTCAGAGCTAGTGCATGAGAACTTGATGTCTCGTTGTTTTCTCTTCAAGAACATGGGTAAATAGGTCTTTCTATAGGTTTTCCTATGATTCAACAAAAGCTTGACTGCTGGCCGCTGCACATCTTCGATGCTAAGCCCAAGCATCGCTGGGCGTCTTCTGCTCTGTGGGTTATATAGTACACACAGCACTAGGACCAAGTAATGATGATGAGGGATGCTATACACTAGCTACGGTAAGTGGTGGCATCAACAAGGCCCCATGACCAACACTACAACACCACAGACAATCCCATATCATGTGATCGGGTTTCCGAATCAACCAATTCCATTAAGCTAGAATTGGATTGCTCAACTAAACACCCCTATAAAACAACAAGACCCCCTAAACCAACCCACATCCGACTAGCACAAACCCTCACTGTACCTGATTACTTAACATTAACACTGGACTGTAACTACGTCCAGTACACCCAACACAATCTGACCTGTCAGATCACTCCCGAGTCTGTCTGCCCTTGCATCCAGTAACGTTACTGCACCCGAAAGTTTCCGTCACACAAAGAACAACAGCGGTTGGTGTTGAGGGGGGGAGGCGCTGCTACTACTTGCAAACAATGAACGAAAGTAAAACCGTAAACCTCTAATGCAAGGTCTTCCTCTCGCAGCAAACGCGCGATAGTCCCTTCACGATGCCACTCCGCGATCTCGAAATGCGAAACGAGAGATCTGAAGCATTGAGTCTGGAAACTCACCATCTAGAGTATGTCAAGTCCCGAGTCAAGCTCAGAGCTAAGTCTAGAGTCAAGCCCAGTCGCGTCTAGAACCGAGATCCAGACTCAAGCTTCACTTAAAAGAGAAATCGAATAATAAACGAAGTGAATTGACACAAAGACACAACCCCTAAAGAATCAACCACGTAAAAGTCCAGCCCACCCCTGGAATCGCACTTCCCAAAGGGCAGGGAGGGGGGATGGAAAATGCATTCCCGGATTTTGGGTCTGAGTCTATGGTTGCATACCGCGTCGCGGGCCGCGGCATACATCTCCGTACATACCATACCTAGGTATCCATACCTATCCATATCCAGGGGAATGCGCAGCAGCAGCAGCAGATATTCAGGTACGGAGCGGCTAGGCAGGGGGCGGAAAAGGCTACCTACGCTACGCTACATCATCAAGAATTTCTGGGAGATTAGTGTCTCATCTGTCCACGGAGTAAATTGTTTGTATTTGCATTTGCTGTAAGTATTTCTTTGTTTGCTGGATGTTTGGTCCGGATTGGAATCATGACTAACCTCACTCCCTGTCGTCCTCTCTACTGGTAGAGTTGAGGGTTGGGTGGTTCCCCAGGGGTAACGGTTTGCCGGTTCGCCCCTTTCGTGGGACTTGTATGGGGTAAGTTTCTATTGCTAGAATTATCCTGGGCGCTCTTCTTACTCACAGAATGACTTCACCAATCTAATAAAACATCAATTCTGGGAGACCGCGACAACAGTATGACATGCATGCAACCATATATGCAAAATATATTCATATTCACTCGAACCGAGGTACTAAAATTATACCAAAATATATGCAGAAATTAAAGAAGAAAAGAAAAAGTGTAACCCCCCCCCTCTCTTCTCCTCATACGCACATCCCGGGGAAGATTCCACTCTAATCCCATGGGGAAATCCAGCCAACAAGCGCGCCGTCCGTTCGCAATTGAGACCGAAATTCTTGTTTCGAGGGTCAAAACGTCATGACGATTATTTTCCCCGTTCGGAAGGCAGTGACCTGCTCCCTCACCAGTGAACTTGGGTAGAGTTTTGTTGATTGATCTCGAAAGGTCGCCACTCGCTGACCCACTCTCCTCACGGGTGCAAGGCATCAACAATGCAAGCAAGCAAGCAAAGGTATACGTATACTGTGTCGGATAAGCTCGTAAATCAGGCAACGGTCGGCCACCCGTCCACCCAGGTTAGGGTGTTCCAGCCGAACTGGTACTGCGAGGTGTCCAGGCCGATGTTGGGGTTGGCGTAGTGGTAGTACAGCACGATGCCGTGGTTGGTGGTGTTGACGATGCCCCTTGAAGTGCACCTCCGGTTAGTATGTGTTCGTTCAGACGGTAATGCAATCATGATGTATGGGTGCCATTGTGGATATGGTGTGGAGTGGGGTGGGGTGGAGGATGTGGGGAATAGGCTTCGGATCGGATCTCAGAGGCCGCGGGGAGGAAAGACAAAACAAAAACAAAAGGGAAGCTTACTGTCCACCGGGTCCGTAGACGTAGTCATGACTGGCGAGGACGGTGGTTCCACCGCTGTTGGTGCATGCGACGCCGCTCTTGTCGACCTGTTTCGGGCGGTGTTAGCAATTGCCTGAGTCTTCATGACCCCACGGACCGATCCGGCCCAAAGAGAAAGAGTAGTGAACGTACAAAGTTGCCCGTCCCCGTCTTCGACCGGCAAACGACGACGCGGTACTCGAGCCCCTGTGCCGGGAGCCCGCTGGTGTAGCCCTGCGCCTGGCCACTGGAGAAGGTGAGGTAGTAGTAGCCCCCGTACTCGAAGAGGTACGAGGCCTCGATGGCGTGGTTGCCCGAGGCATTGTAGGCCAGGTTGGTCGGGGTGGAGGAGCTGATCTTCAGCGAGCTGGTCATAGGCGCCTGATACAGGCCGTGCCAGTACGAGCCCCATTGCAGGTACCCGGTGCCGCCGATGGAGATCCAGTTGGCGTCGATCGCGTTGTACGTGTTGGCCGACGACGAGGTCAGCCCGATGGTGCCGTGGTCCGTCCACGAGCCCGCCTCCAGCGTCGTCGAGGTGGCCACCCCGATCGTCGAGCTTTGGCTGCCCAGCGTGGAGCTGGCATAGTACAGGTAGTAGGTTCCACTGTCGTAGTGCACGTCCGGGGCCTGGAGTTACATCTGGTGAGTCGAGGAATGTTGGACTTAGGGCTACCCGACGGGAAGGGGGGAAAGGAGTAGGGTTATTGAGGGACTATTGTCTTACCCAGAGATTGGATGCATTCCCCACTGTCACCGATGAACCATTGGGCAGCACGTACCCCAAATCGGTCCAGGGCCCGGTGATGGCACTGGCGGACGAGATCAAGATCCCCAGTCCGGTGGAAAAGCGAAAGAACTTGCCGTCCGTCTTGCGGCGGATGACATTGGGGTCGTGAGCCCAGCAGGACCCCGAGCAGGCTCCCGGGTCTGAATAGGCATTCACCAAGGCTGTGAACAGCAGAAGGAGAACGTAGGGAAGCATGATGATGGACCCAAGAAGAGTCGGTCGTATTAGGCAGGGAAAGAGGAAAAGACGAAGAAGAAAACAAGGGACGGGCCTGCTTTCCTAACCATTCAAGCCTCTATCATCTGGTCGAGCAGATGGCCCTTTTTATGTACCATTGGGAAGTTCGGCGTGCATGCATGCTTCAACGATGTCACCCTTCTGACAATTTTTACTTTCTTGGTTTTTTTTTTTTTCCTTTCTGATTTATTTTCTTGTCATCCTGTCTGCTGCAGAGAGTGGCCTGGCAGCTGAGCTTACGCATGCATTGACCTCTCGTCATTCTCGGACTGAACTACTCTGTCAAGGTCGAGGAAGATGCTAAGGCTAACAGTTTACTCCCTTGCTGCGCAGGCCGAGACCAATCATACCGGGTCCGAATAGTCTTAACTCTAGCAAAGGGCCTATGAACTAACGTTAGCTACCGCGGTCTGGTGGATCGCTCGGATTATAGAACGGAATTTCATGCTGGAAAGCGGGTCATGGTAGGCTGTACAGCCCTTGGACTTGGACTTGGACTTGGTCCATCGTCAGTATGATAATCAGGGTAATCGGAGATAACAACAGTGGCGGCCCAGGCTAAGTTTCCCTCTCTCGCGTTCCCCCTAGATTGAAGTAAGCGAGAAAAGCAAAAAGACTCCGGGAAGCTTCACACTGCATAAACTATTGAAATAAGAAATGGAGGAGGAAAAGGTTAAGCGAAAGAAAAGCTACACAAGACTTTAGGTTAAGAGTGTTAGGCAGCTGATCGATCGGGTGGCCCTCCATCACATTGCTCTTTTCGGCCCGCATGATTCTTTTCCCCTGAGAGAAGGAGGGCTTGAAACTATAAGGCTTATACGGAGTAGAAAGGAGGGGTTAATTGACATTTTGTGGCTCGGTTGGTTGAGTACTGAACGGGTAGGTATGCAAATTTACCTTTGGGAAGAATACGGTCGGATTATCTTGCCTCATCGTCATCTTTGTTTGTTTGTTGTGGTTGCATAAGTTACTAAGCCAGTCGGTCTGGTTCTCCCCTTTCTTCCTCCTCTGTCTTCCCACTGGGCTGGCTGGGTTGCTTGCCTTGACGTGTTGACAAGCCGGCAGGGCCGTAGATACGTGTCAAGCCATGCAGGCGCGACAGTTGGTGCAGTTGGTGTAGACGAGGGTTGATTGGATGTGTGGATACCGATGACGGGCTGTTTAGTGCCTGTTTAGTGACTGGTTAGCGTCCCCAAGTGTCCCCAGAGCCGTGTCTAGTGCGCGCCTCTTGCTGAGGTCTTTGGGTAAGCCATCGGTCGATCATCATTGGGGCAGACCCGCCAAATGGAGTCAAGCCGTCGCGTTGGATGTCTTGTCCTTGTTGCCATCTGCTTCGGGATGTCGTGATTGGGAATTAGATTGATCTCCATGATCTGCTGATTAACTGCTGGTCAGTGGGCTACGCCAAACCTCCATCCCGGACGGCGGACTTCAGAGCATACATACCGTCCGTACAGTACGTACCGTGTGGGGAATTTCCCCGATACCCAAGCAAACCAACCGTTCCTGACATTGGGATAGTCTTCGAGAAACGGTCAGCAGCAACGCACCAACAGTGAGGTGAGAGCGCCCTTGCATCTGGTCATGACATCTTGGGTACTTCTGCAGCTTTGTGGTTACCAGTTTGGGGGGGCGATCGAAGGAAGGGGTTGCACAGCCTTGTTCACTGGACTTATGTAATCCCATCGTTTCCCCTCATCTCATTCCTCCTTCGAACTCGGTCCAAGCCGTCGCCGAGAAATCGCCCAGAAACGCGGGATCGACTGAGACCATGATCATCTCACGAGGGCAAGATGGATTGTTGCTTGCTTGATGCTCTGCTTGCGTGCCGCAGTTGACCAGGTGATGGTGCGACCTGCGCTAGAGATGTTGTGACTAGTGTAGGTCATGATGCGGGGAAATATCTTGTGTACATACTGGACTAAATGTTAGTATAGAAAGTAGCTTATGGATGGCTTAGGGCACAGACTGAAGATCTCCGAGGGGGCTGGCCTTGTGATTATGGTTGTTGACTTGCTGTCAGCCTGGTCTCGATGCGGTGAGCATAGCCATGGCTTATCGAGACTGCCAGGTAGGCCACCTGGAAATGACGTCTGTGAGCCTTGCTGTGACTTGTTCATCGTTGGGTGGAGACTGCGTTGGCAGGAGGATTATTCTCCGAACGCTCTGGATCCAGCGGATTCTCCGCTTTTGAGGGGAAACAGCAAGGAGAGAGCAATCAGTGGGAGTCGGTTGGATCGATCGACACAATTTATTGATGTTTATCCAGTTGCGATGACGAAATGTGACTTTATCCGAGTTGGAATAGTTAGGAAGGTTGAGGGGTGGGTGCACACAAATGGAGCAGAATAGATGGAATACTATGTAAGAGTAGTTGAGATCGACCGCCTTGTAGGATTTGATATTACTTGTGAATGTTACTCGTTCGGAAGGTACGGCGGCGGCGACCTGCTCCGAAGCAGTTGCTGGTAAAGCATTAATCAAAAAGTATCACTTAGTAACTAATGTAGTCCTCTTACTGACCTGACTACCCTGGTCAAGTAATGTAGCTTACGTACTATTTTTACACGGCAGTAGATGTACATTACAGTAGCCTACCACATCCATCATCCGCCAAAGCTAAGCTCTCCCTCATCCCGATGCACACAATCCACCACCACCAAGACACAAGCAACCACCAAAACAATCAACCATCAAAATCGACCCTCACAGCGATCCTACGAAGCTTACTCGCAGCTTGTTCCGATCTATAAGATCAATCTCATGCATCCTGCAGGGGTAAAGCCCATTCCTCACCAATCCATCCGGGCAGTGATCGCAACTCGACGCGCGTACTCCATGCGGTGGCAACTGGCCACCACCTCCCCTGATGATCCCTCACCCAGCGCGTTCCTGCAGTAGCCTCTGAGCTCGGGGAATAAAGTTGTTCGATGAAGGGGGAAGGGGGAAAGGTGAGGCGTTGTTCCGCTGGTAGGTGTCTGTTCCTGCGTAATGGAGTTTCGAGACTGCGTGATTTGGAGCTGTGTACGGTGGAGAGGTATAATTATAGTAGCGGTCTTAGCTGTATGTACATACTGAAAGGTTCTCTGTGAGGTACTCGAGCCAAGTGTATGGGGTTTGTGATGACGCGGTTGGTGCGACAGGTCACATTTGTCTACCGTATAGGGGGCTCGTAAGATAGTGGTGATGCGAAGCGGTGGTTGCTGCTGCTGTTGTTTGACTGTTGATGACTCTACCCTGGAGTGGTATTGGTGCTCTGTCTATGATCGAGGAGAGTGATATGCCATTGGTTTAAGTTGCTGTCATCCAGTTTTCTGGGAGTACAAAGGTTACTTATGTCAGAAGCGAAATGCTTATTTCAACACTGGGCACATCATTGGCGAGACCCGCGGGTCTCAACCTGTGGAGCCAAAGGGGCGTTTGCATGACTCGCTGGGCGATAGGCTCTTCTAGTGTATTGACTATACGAGCTGCATAATGAGTTCCTGTCCTGCGGCCATACATCCCGTACCCACCGAGTCTACAGAAGAGACATGATCAGGCACCGACCTGGTAAACTGCTTAGATGTCTATCACAAGGGCGAACGCTGGATAGTCCAAATCAGGGCTTGATAACCTGAGGATGCGATTACATTTAGGGTTCGAGCCAGAAGCATGTGAAGCTGGGTTCCAGGTACCCGGGAAGAACATGATTGGCTTTCTGTATTGTGGCATCGGTCTTTTGCAGCATCATAAGTAATTGCTCGCTAATGATAACTAAAGCACTTCGAATGTTTCTCGGTGAGGAATCTCACAAATGAGGTGCTCCAATACCGTAAGCCGTAGGAGATGTTGCAACGGAGATGACATGTTGATAAGATACCTGACAACTCAAGCCACACACAACATCTGAACACGATATAGAAGCTTAAATAGGAACGTCACACGAGACAAGCGTTCGCCAAGCTGGCCGAGAACGCCGTAGACACACGAGGTACTCTTCAGGCTATACTATACTATACCTCTCAACCGAGACTACCATCCGGCTCCCCCAAACCCTGCCCTCGATCTCAATCCACGAACTCTCCATTAATGCCCAGTGGTGGGCGACTCTCCCATTCTACAGTCCAGTCTGATATACCGACCACTTGCAGCCATAAGATAAGCAGCTCAGCCAACACACCCGCACGGGTCGGCTATACCTGCCAGGCGCTGAACCCTGAGGCGCAAGCCATCCGAGCTGAACAGATAAACTTCTAGCCTCTCACCACCACCACGTATCAAGACACTTGATAGCCCAAGCTCCCTGATTCGCCAACCTGGCTCTAGAACAACATCCTGACCTCCCCCTCCACCTCCCCCCCCCCCCTTCCCCCCTCCTCAACCCAATAACCCCCCTTCAAAAAGGCCAGGCATACCTCGAAATCGCAAGAATGACCGCCGCAGCCTCGGGCAGAAACGCCTTAACCCACCGCCTCGGCCTCCACCCTTCCTCCAAGGGCAAGCGCTCCTCCCCAAACAGCGCCTGCAAATAGCTCTTCGGGATCCCCTTGCCCGCCCCCTCGCCGAACAAACACCGCAGCACGGCCAACTCCCCGCAGGCGATGTAGTGCTCACGCCGCCCGAACTTGAGGGAAGGGTTGCTCTTCAGCGATTCGGCGTACCGCACCTTCCGGTAGCGGCCGAGCTCGGGGACGCCGAAGCCGCCGCGCGGGGTGGAGCCGAGGAACTGCTCGTAGAGGGCGGGGTCGAGGGGGATGGGGTCGGCGAGGGCGCGGTCCTGGCGCGTGACGGAGACGTCGTGCTCGATGGCGTGCGGGCGGCCGACCTTGTCGAGGTGCAGGACCGGCTCCCCCGCGGCGTTGAGGTCGGTGGCGTCGCGGAGGCCGCCGATGGAGCCGTGCGGCCCAGACTCGGCGTCGTCGCTGTGGATCGTGAAGGCCCGCCACACCAGCAGCGCGGAGACGTCGGCGCCCAGCCCGATCGAGCCCAGCGCGGAGCGGAGCTGCGGCGCCGTGATGTTGCGGCCGTCGTGCGGGAGCCGGTGGTGGTTGGCCAGGCTGTTGAGCACCGGGCAGGGCGAGCGGGCATCGCTGGATGAGGCGGGCTCGTAGCTGTCGTCATTGGGGTGGGGCGGCATGGTCTTTGGTTTTGTGGTATCTAGAACTATGCTAGGGGTGTGGTGTGTAAAATGAGTGAGGAGGGCGGGAGGTTCTTCATGAAACGGGGTTGGGTGTGGCTGTTGTTATATACTATATCCAGTGAGTTTGTGGAATGAATGGAAGGAGAGGAGAGGAGACGTGATGATTGGTGTTGAGGTAAGATGAGATGAGATGCGATGCAGTTGTTAGCAGCAGCTGACCGCTGGTGTGTCTGGTGTGTCTGGTGTGGCTGGTCACGAGGGTTTCAGCTGCGTGCAGTCAGTGCAGCTATACGAGTCGCCACCAGTCACTGCGACCTGTCTACTGCGTACTGTCCTGTACTGTACCTTCGATTTCAGGACAAAGTTGTCAGCATTTCTAATTCATCATCAGAATATAATCTTAGTCTAATGTACAGTCGTTAATTCAGTCATGCAGGGAAATGGTGTATGCTCTTGCCCAAGATCATCCTCTAATTGCATCGGTTCACAATCTCTTCAATTAGCTCGTGCAGTTCGTCTTCTCGTTCCCAACCCAACATGTGGCCACTCCCCTCAAAGGCCCTCCAGGTGATCCCATCACCGATCTCCTCGCGTAAGATCTCCCCGTGCCGAAACGTCAGCATCAAGTCCTTGGTGCCATGAGTCACGGCGATGCGGTCTCTGCCTACTCGATCCCCAAGGGTCTTCAGTTGCGCCGCCGACTTGTGATGGAAATAGCAGGCGACAATCTGCATCAAGAACCCCTTCTTGGTATACTCGTCGGTGTTGGCTCGCTTCCGGATCACGCCCGCAGCGAAGCGATCGCGCTTGGTCGGGAAATTCTTCGCGGGGTCCTCGTATTCAGTGTCGGGCTCCGCGAGGAACTCGTCGGCAAAAATGCTCTTCGCCAGCCGCTCCAGCTCCACATCGATGTGGCGAGGGATGAACATGTTCGCCCGCTGCCGCAGGTTCTCCACAAACGGGCCTGTCCGCACCAGCCGCGGGGCCGTACAGTTCAGCATCAGGCTCGCCAGGCGATCGGGGATAAGCATCGCGACCTCCTGGGCTATCATGCCGCCCATGCTAGCGCCAATAACATGGATGGATCGCTCGGGCGGACCGGCCAGATCGATCCATCCCAACGAGCTCACCAGGTCGACCACGTCCTGGGCCATTTCGGAGGTCGAATAGTAGGAGACCGGCTTGTCTGAAAGGCCGACGCCACGATTGTCAAACACCAAGCAGGTGTATCGCGACCCGTGCTTGTGCCCAAAGTACCTGGTCTGGCGTCGCCAGTCCTTCAGGGTCCCGTTAAGGCCCATAATCCACTGCGCGGTCCGTGTCAGTACCACCGTTGAACCCCGATGGGTTGAGAATCACACTTGAGACTTACGACGAGCTTCACTGGGCCAGTGCCGTGGAGTTCATAGTGTAGATTAATCGGCCCTCCACGGCGGGTCTGGGCCACTGCTTGTTTCCCGGATGTTGTTGGGGTGAGTCCCCATTCGACTGTGGGGTACGCCGGATGCTTAACGAGCTCCTCTGCTGTGAGGGGTGCCATCGCTCCAAAGTAAGTACTGATGAAGTGTATAGTACTCGATGGAGGTGTGCGGAATGTCGTGATTTACAAGGCGGAAGGAATGACGTGCCGGTGGGAATTATGTAGAGGCAATGAGGCAAGTGCGCACATGTCCTCATTGCTTGGCAATTGGCCGATGCCTTGATTTTCCTCGCTGGCCGGATCCACCTGAACCAGTTCCTGATGTTCCATTCTGGGCCTGGTGCCTGTTTTTAAGTGCTGATGCCCGACTGCTTCTTTTTCGTTATCGCGATAACCACTTCATCCTGATGTCCTGAATACCTGAGGGGCCATCTGTCCGGCAACTTTACTATGTCTCGTGATAGTAACACACGGATAGGTCTTGTGAGACCAATCCGTGCGCAACCCTTCCTCTGTTGCCGGTCGCTCGATGTCGAATAGACTAAGCTGATTGCACCCCTGAGAGCTGACGACTGTCCCTGGGGTCAGAGCTCTCATTTGGTTCTCGACTGAACTTATCCCTCATTCTCATGCCGGATTAACCTTCAAGTGCGGGGAATCGACCATCTTCATGAAAGAACAATATCGCAGTCCGAAGCGAGAGTGCTCAGGTCCGGACCTTCAATTCACAATTGCAAAAGATTCCACTTGGTTTTAAACAATCCGTGACATCGTGAGACTGGCACTTCGACCTCATAGGGGTCTTGGGCACGCAATCAAGCTCTCTCGAGCCAGAGCAAGTCAATCAAGGAAGCAATATGAGGCCGAAGGGAAAATGGACCGCGCTTTGGACTCAATTCCTGCTTCAGCACAAAGGATACACTTCGCATTGCTTTGCCGAGGATTCAGATGCCGACGGCTCAGTCGCTAACCGCTGAGAAAGCGCAAAGCGCGATAGATTTTCGAGCTCTCGAGAAGGGGCAAGGTGGCGATGTCAATGCAGAAGATGATTTGGACTCAGGACAACGCTTCATATAGGGGGTAGGGCCAGATATTTAAACGGGACCAGAGAACGAAGCTTGAAGTTGTTAGAAAATGCTTGCACAATCGCACATCTCAGTAAAGCAATTCAAGATGGTCACTCAATACGGCATCCATCAGGTTTGTCTGGCTTCAACCATAAGTCCAGCAGACCCTGTGGCTCCGAAATCTGCCCAGAAGGAAGTACAGCATAAACAGAAGCAGGCTTTTAACACGTACTTCGAGTCTCTCACTAGCGGTTGTCGGGGAAATGTGAACAACAACTCTCCAAACCCGCTCCTCTTACCTGAAAGACTTCAAAGGAGTGTAGCGAAGCTTCACGAGGCACTAGTCAGCGGACTTAGCAGCATCGTGAACACTTGGTGGACCGATGAACAGGCTGCGTTTCCCCGAAGGATGCCACTGGAACCACATGAAGAGGATCTTCTGCGCGTGAGAAACTCATCAAATTGACCTTTGGCAGCGGTGCTGACCTTCCCACTTAGTGGTTGCATGAGCAGTCTGAAGCGAACAATCTGAGACCCTTCAGAGATTGTCAGGGACACTGGCGATCTGATCTTCTTCTTCCTTCGGATCACCCAGGTACTGTCAAGATCTGTGAGATCAACGCACGATACTCCATCAATGCACAGCTCCTTGCAGCCTATGGCTATCAGATATACGGGGAGATGGCGGCTGAAAGAGGCTGTGTCTTTGCAGGTGCAGACGCACGAAAGGTATGTAGAGAGCCTTCGTCCTTGTGAGCATCTATAGTGTTCTGACTATGACCCAGTTTATCAAAAGTCAGCTAGATATTTTCGATCCGAAGTACCCAATACATATCGTGCGCGACCAGTATCGAACGCCCTTCATCGACATGTTCGTCTCCTTTGCTGAACAAAGTGGAAGAATCAGTGCGACTATAATCAAGTCAGCAGACCTTCGCTTGATAAAGAGTAACAACTCGCAGACTGGATATGACCTTTACTGCCTGTCTGACAAGGACTGTCCTGACATGGTCAGCACAGACGGTGAGCGTCTGGACCGTGTGTACCAAACCGGGCTTCATCTATTCCAGCATGAACTGCGCTCCATCCCGACAGACATCTTGCGACACCTTGCGCTGCACTGTGTCAATGACTTGAGAAGCGTTCTTCTCATTCACGACAAGCGGATCCTTGGGGTGCTGCTCCAAGAGCTTGACAGCCTTGTCAGCAAGCAAGTCCTTACACCAGAGCAAGCAGCGATCCTTCGGCACGGCGTCGTATCTACCATAAACCCTGGGTCTCCGGAGCTGAGCAATTTGATCGACCAGCAGAGCCGATCCCTTATTCATAAAGACAAGTTCATCATCAAGCCGGTTCGGAGTGGTCGAGGGGACGGAATTCTGCTCGGTAGGGAGCTGTCCGTCTCCCAATGGGAAAACCTTTTGCTTGATCTTCGTGACCCTGGACTTGAACCAGGTCGCACCATGTATATCATCCAGCCACTGATCGAACAGCCATTGTTCGAGCTACTCGACCATCGTGGGGAGGTTCAATCCAGTCCCCTTGTAGGGTCTTGCCACCTGGCCAATGGCAGCTTCACCGGCCTTGGATTCTGGAGAGCCGGCGGCACGAAGATCTGCAATCTCAACAGTGGAGGGTTCTGGATGCTGGGAGTGGTCGCTCGTCCAAATTGATTTGAATTGACGCGAAGAGGTCGGTCTTCATTCCTGGAGCAGGATCAACTTCATGATATAGCTTGCGCGTTTGAAAAGGCCCTACACATCCTGATGTTTCTATCTGCGCTCGAAGAGAAATGAGTCAGTAGTGATAGTCTGACATTTGTAACAATTCAAAATTGCAAGCATCCTGTTTGGTGTTGTCTTATCTCGAAGTTCATGAAAAGTTGCAGAGGGAAGGAAAGAGTTACATAAACACACACCCCGCTCTTATCAAGGCGACTCCAACGCGGGGAACTCAATGGCTCCACCATCTCCAACCTCCAACTTCCACCCGGCACTGGATGACCATCATGACTTTCTCTCTCGTCGCATTCCACAAGACATTGCCCTTTGCTTGTTATCCCTCACATAACTGTAACCCACAATGGCACCCATCCATCGAGTAGCCGTCATCCAATGGAACATCCAGGTACGTCGCCCGCTACCTACGCTGACTCGCAGCAAATCGCTAACCAACCCCCGCAGGACCTAGCCATCGAAGAAAACCACCGCAAAGCATGCGATTACATCCGCGAAGCCGCAGCCCAAGGTGCTGAGCTCGCCGTCCTCCCAGAGTATGCATCTACACCCTCACCCTGTACCTCAAACCCCCGCACCACCTCCCTTCCCCCGCGCACTTTCCCTCCCCAAACCCACCACACTAACCCACCCAAAACAAAAAAAGATATCACCTAAACGGCTGGGCCCCCTCCGACCCCCTCTGGCTCGACCACGCGGCCTCCACCCAGGAATATCTACAAGCCTACCAAGCCCTCGCCCGCGACCTGCACATCTGCATCGTCCCCGGCACGATCGTCGAACGTCACGAGCCGCAGCCCGCAAGCCCCAACCGCACCGAGGCAAGCAAAAAGGACGCCCTCCTCTACAACACGGCGTACTTCATCTCCCACGACGGCCGCATCCTGGGCCATTACCGCAAGAAGAACATCTGGCACCCGGAGCGCGAGTATTTGACGTCATCCGGGGAGGAGCCGCACGAGGTGTTCGACACGCCGCTGGGGAAGGTGGGGCTGCTGATCTGTTGGGATCTGGCGTTCCCGGAGGCCTTCCGCGAGCTGATCTCCAAGGGCGCGGAGGTGGTGGTTCTGCCGACCTTTTGTGAGTTCGCCTTTTTTCTATTTTGCGGGGTTGGCTACGCCCAGTGGGTGAAGGGTGGGAGGGGTGGCTTTTTCTTTCGTGGTTCTCAGGGGGAAAGACTGGCTAATCCGGGTATTACGATAGGGAGTCGCTACGACGCCTCGCCCGCGATGCTGAAACATAACCCGGAGTCGGAGAAGTTGTTCCTCGAGACGACCCTCACGGCGCGGTGCTTTGAGAATACCTGCGGGATCATCTTTGCCAATGTCGCGCGGGGCCAGGATCCGGAGGACAAGTTCATGGGCCTCTCGCGGGTGGTGTTGCCGGTCGTTGGGCCGGTGGGGCAGATGGGCGATGAGGAAGGGGTGCTGGTGGTGGACATGGATTTGGGGCTGGTGAGGATCGCGGAGGAGAATTATAAGGTCCGCGAGGATATGGAGAGGGAGGGGTGGCACTATACGTATAGACATTCTTCGATTGCATAGACTGCCTTTCTTTGGATTAGAGGAGATAGTTGCAGATTTAGAGTGGGTGCAAACTTGCAACGTTGTTGGATTATGGCTAGCTATGTGACTTTCTCCAGAGATGTTCAGAAACACGGCCGAGACGAACTCCAACGGCCTAAAATCCAACCACAAATATGTCATGTCAAGTGTCACAACTGTTGCACTAATGAAGCCAAATTGGCAACCATGGGAAAAAAAGAGACAAAAGCACAGCAGCGAAAATAGTCAGAAGCCACAGCCGGACTATGCATACCCCACGACAAGGTGGAAGCCATAGCCAGACACAGACTTCTCTCATCTTCGACTGAGATAAAAACCAGATCAAACAGCGAGAGGAAATGAGATGAGACTGAGTAACAACCATCAACACCAAAGCTCCATACCATACCGACTGATCAGCCATGCATACCCTATGGCAAGATAGGAGCCATAGCAAACCCAGCCGTGTCCTTCAGCGAACACCCCCTAAACCACAAAAGCCACAGAACAAGCAAAACAACAGAAGACCATGCTTGCACATCAGTACCCAACAGAGCTCGCTAAGAGCAGACCAGAGGGGTGTTGAAGTACAGCGTAAGCACGCAATCAAGAGCAAAGAGCGATGAACAATGAACCAAATATGAAAGGAGATGTAAGCTAGATATCACGATTCGTAGCTGATCAACGAACTTATCAAGCCCGCTTACAGCTCGAACTCATCAAGCACCTCGAAGTCAGAAGTGTAGTCCTCATCGGTGACGAAGTCGAAATCATCAGCGACGCCGTCCTCGGACGCCTCGGAGTCGTCACTGTCATCAGTGTCGTCATCGGCCGCTGGCTCCTCGACGGCCAACCAGTAATCGACCATGCTGCGAGGGTTCTTGGCTGTCTCGACCGGAGGGATGGCCCGCGAGCCGACGGGGATGAGGTCGTGCATGTATTCCATGATCCAGTTGAGCTCGTAATCGTGAGGACGCTTGATGACCTGTTTCTCCCGTGATGGGGAGTTTCGGTCAGTGTGTCTCTTCTTTTTTGAGGAAAGGGTGAGCAGGAAGGTGAGTGAGAGAGAGAGAACTCACTTGGCAGAGTCTCGCACCGTTGCTCGGATCGAAGCCTTCGGCCTTGAAGTCCCATTGGCAGAGGCGGCATGGGGCGTTCCTCACATACAAGCTGCCCACTGTAACAAAGTCCTGCATACTGTTCTGCTCACAACTGAGGAAACAGGTGAGTGGGAAGGGGCCTTTACAGAATGTAAGGTGTGGGGTACGTACGGCTTGAAGTTCGTCGGATCATTGCACCGGTCACGGCATTGGAAGTAGATTTCTTTCCAAGCGAGATGACGGACCTCCTGGGTGCACCTGGTGAAAATGACAGGAAATCTGTATCCGAAGCACATGCTTGAGGGAATTAGTATGTGATCTGTGGCTACGGCGGGTGTTAACTTACTTGGCTTCAGTTCTTGGATTGGAAACAAGCGGGAGATGGTGGGACGCTCAAGGTGAGATGAGGTGGGGAGGAGAGAATGATTACTGGCTGAGAGAGAGAAATGAAAGAAAAGATGAAGCTTTACAGAGAACAAGGGAGTGATTGTGGGGGATGAAGAGGAAACAAAGGTGAGAGAGGTAGAGGAAGAGAGAGGAGGAGGGTGGAGAGGATAAGAGAAGTGAAAGGCAGCTCGATCACTTGTGATCGTTGCCTGATGGTAATCACCCTCACTACAGCGTGTTACTCAGCCTTTAAGACTTCTAACCGAAGGCATACAAGCTAAGCTTCTTCATTTTTCTGCTTGCCATCTTGTGTAGATATGATTACCCCTTTCATACATAGTCTACCCAGCAACATGGCACCTACGGTGGTGATATACTTCGGATCACCGGGCCGAGCGGCTATTGGCCACGCGAGTCACGCTAAACATGGGCTTATCTGATAGTGACCCACTTCATTGGTACGCTAAGCCCTTTTTGGTGTACGGGTCAGTCCACCACTGCACCTAACAATTTAGCAATGCATCCCATTCACTGGCAAGGACATGTGTACATTTCCTACTTTACCAGGAAGGATTTGAGGTAGGCTGCCACTTGTAGATGATATTCTAGTGATTGTAGAAGGCTAGCATAAGTCCAGGCAGTTTTAGAAGTACTTTAATCATCCACCAATAAGCTCCACCCTGCGACCACTGTAGGAACAGCTGCTACCCATGCTAAAGGGGCATGCTTCATCAAACATCAAACCTAAACAGTACGGGTCCTCTCCTTGAGTTACTGTACATTGCAACTGCTAATCTGCAAAATGGTCTCAATTCTAAACAAGCCGCAATCATCCGCAGTCATTAGGCGATACAAATTCGTCAAATCTTGGCAACCGTTCATCCACCATGCGGCCGTGGAATTCTTGCATCAGAAGAAAATATAAACATAAGGCATCATCAACTCCCCGCAAGAGACTGAGCCCCTCCAAAAAGACTGGCTACCAGGACAACAGAAAGGAACCGGGTGTATGAAAGTAAAATCAACCATCCAACTCTGGGACTCACTGAACCTGGCTGACAATCTCGCTAGCGCGGGATAGGCTCTCCACCATTTGCTGGCACTCTTTCCGCCGGCGGATGGTGTAGTCGCTCTCCTTGAGGAGTTCATCCAACTCGTTGTTGCGGTACATCATCTCCAGGAGCTCGCGCTGCATCTCATCCTTGGTGAATCTGGCTCTGTGTTAGTATCAAATATAAAAAGCTCGTGGGATCGAACTTACTGGACGAGGGTGTACATGATGGCCTTGGGAACCATATCGATCATGGTGCGCTTGACAATGTTGAAGTACGATGTGATGAGCAGCTCTGTTTTGTGTAAGCATCCAATCTGCAAAGATATTCAACAGTACTCACTGATCACTTCAACTTCGCTGCTCTCCCGCTCGGACAGGGCGGCAGAGGCCTTCAGAGTGGGCGGTGGCGGCTCCATAGCAGCCATCTTCTTCTTGTTCTTCGAGGCCCAGAAGCTGCCGAAGAACCCAGAGCTGCCGGTGTCGGTAGGGGTCTCGACCGAAGGGCTGTTGGCCCGCGGAGGGAGGGGCTTGCCGGTCTTGGGGTCTACTTGCGTCGGCTTGCTTCCAAGTTGACGTTCGTTGACAATAGCCATGGCCTGATCGGTCAGTATCGCTCAGCTACAAAAATTGTACGAATAACTTACGCGGTGTCCGTTGAGGAAATCGGGGTGTCCAGTATTGATGTAAACCGTCTCCATGGCGATAAGATCCCGAACCAGTTTGTTGGTCGGCTCCATGCACTTCTTGAAGAATCCAATGACCACGGCATGGAACTTCTCCTTTAGCATAGGATACCTCCGGAACAGCTGCTTGTTCAAAAGCTGACCAAGAATGCGGACGAGTTCGTCGTACACCAAGGAAATACACTTCAAGCTAGGATCCTCTAGTCGCTTGATCTGTTGCTTCACAATCAGTTCGAAAGCGGTCGTGCCAACGAAGAGAGCTGGTGACGATCCGGAGGAGTTGTAGAGGATAGTACGGATATCAATGTCCTTCACCTGATCAAAAGGATCGACTGCCTTGACACCGTTCGAGTAGAGCTCGTGGAACACGAAGCTGATACGGGCACCTCCGGACAGCTCAATACTCGAAAGTTCGGTGTTGTTACCCTCCAGCACAGTGCGGTACTCATTGCTGAACTCGGTGATAATGTTCAGTATGATGTTAGCGCTGTTGCCGAGCATCGAGTCGCCAAGCTGCGAAAGTTCGGAAGAGTATTTCTGGAGAGAGGACGAGATGCGGGCCTTGATGTCGGGAAGCGTTTGCTTGATGTGCATCATGAGGATCTATGGCATGGTTAGCGCACATACAGTCATGTACCAGGGAGCTATGCGCACCAAGTTCAACTTCCTAGCAAGATAGGGCGTTCCACAGTATGACGACTTGTTGCGATAAGCCTTGTGGTTCTCGAAGAAGTTTTTCTCGTTCTCCAGCGCATACGCAATGGGCTTCTTGTTCTCAATATCGCGCTGACCGCGGTTGACCACCGGCACATAACCCAGGCGCAAGGGGATAATCCTGCCCGCAAGAATATCCACGACATCGGTGCCCTCGTCCATCAGATCCACCTTGGTCAAGACACCGATGGTACGCTGACCTTCGGGATCCACCTCGCGCGCCAGCTTCAAGCCATCCGAATTGGCCAAATCCTGGTTAGCGGAAGTGACAGCAAGGATGATAGCATTGGGCTTGCTGATATACTTCATGACCATGTCCCGAATCTGTTTCTCGATGTCCTTGGGCTGGTCACCCACCGGCACCTTGGTCAAACCGGGCAAGTCAACCAGCGTCAGCGTCAGAACGTTGGGCGAGTAGATGCGGAGGTTGATCGGGGCGGGCGAGATGCCGGCGTTGCGGCCAACTTTCTGTTCGGTTTCGCGCACAATTTCATCGCGGATCTTGTTGAAGTCGTAGAACTTTTGGCCGGGAATGTGCAGGAACTCGCCGTATTCGTCCACGTTTGCCTCCTTATCCGTGCCTTCCAACTCTTCTTCCTTCACACCGTTGGTCTGTGCGTTGGCAGCGGGCTTGTTGATCAGTTGCAGAATGAGGGGTCTGCGAGTGACAATTCCGGAACCACGGGGCAGGCTAGGGGGGTGCAGGGTTGGCAGTCAGCGAATGCGACAGTGGTTGCGATGGCGACAATAAGGGTCACTCACAAATCGCGGCCAACAATATTCTCCAAGACGGAACTCTTTCCGCTAGACTGCGAACCGACGACGGCAATTTGAGGCAGGTCGATGGGGTTGTGAACCTAAACAGAACAAGCGGTGTCAGTATGCGGAGGGGCCGCAGGAAAGCTCCACGAAACAGCAATCACTTACTCCGACAGTAGCGAAGACATCCTGCAGCTTATTGACCAGGGAGATCAAGCTGGGATCGTTGACATTTATCCTGTCCGACAAGCGAGGTCAGCCAGTCAACCTAGCATCGAGGGCACGAGGGCCCAAGGGGGAGGGGGGGGATTGCGCACGAGAAGCCAGTTGGGCTTGCCATGGCTGGCAATGATGATTAGGGAATCGCTCCAAATTAGAAAAAAGAAAGCTTTATCTGGTAGAAAGACAGCAGTCAAGTGTATGGAATCGAGTGTATGAATGAATGCCTGTTAAGGGTAGTAGCTGTGAATGGTGGGTTTGGGGGGGGTGTAAGTTGAAGGGGGAAGAGTGTCGGAGTGAGCGAAGGCGGCGGCGGCGACGGGAAGTGCCAAGTGTAGCCTTTCGCTTCGGCCCAGATCAGTGAGATAAAGATCGATACAACAGCTACTACAAAGCCACAACAGCATAAAGAATATTACCAATGGTGGCGACTCAAGGCCTTGCTGTTGATCAACGTATCGCTACAGAATACACGGTTGGAAGCAGCAGCAAAAGTTTTTTCTCTTGAATGTCATAATGCAAAGCCACGAATTCACTGGGACGCGTCATGTGCTTCTGGCCACCCAAACCGGCCAAACAATGATGCTGCCTGACCACTCCTGACTCAAATGGGCTCAAAATCTATCATTGTTGGGCAAATAGAATTTTCTGGAAGATCTTCAACGAAACTGCAATAACTACAGATAATGGGAATTTGCTATGCTACAAAGCTCTTGAAATTCAAAAGAAAGAAATGACGACACGATCCCGAAGATCATCTCCCGGCCGTGTTGATATCCTCTACTCATCCGACACCGAAGCGAAACGCTCCGACATGGTTTGGAGGATCTTCTCATACTGGAGGGAGTTAGTATGATTACGTCGTGGCATGCAAGAGAATCGGACTCACCTTGTTAGACACCTCCGCCTCGTTGTCTGGCACTTCGAACTTCATGTTCCGCAGAGCGGTCTGGATATCACCCGTGGCGTCGCGAACCTTGGCCCAATTCTGACCTTGGGCAACGGCCTTCTGCGCTTCGTCATGGTAGCCCATGAAAGCTTTCATCATGTACTCAGTCTTCCACAGAGGACAGAATTGATCATAGTCACTGTAGCCGTTCTGTTGCAGGAAATCATCCTTGACCATGGCAGCCACATCCAGGGTGATCTTATCCGAGTCACCCAATGCCGCCTTACCGACCAACTGCACCACCTGGTCCAGATCTTCCGATTTGGTCAAAAGCTCACGAATCTGATCACGCAGACGAGGAAACTCGGGGTGGTGCTTCTCGTAGTACCGGTCCAGAACCGTGGTATACTTGCTGTAGGAGATCGACGTATTGATCGAGGGAAAGTGCTTGCGCTGAGCCAGCTTCTTGTCCAGACCCCAGAAAACCTGGACGATACCGAGAGTGCTGCTGGTAACAGGGTCCGAGAAATCACCACCTGGAGGGCTAACGGCACCGACAATACTGACACTGCCGGTTCTCTCGGGGCTTCCGAGGGCGATACTCCGTCCGGCACGCTCATAGAAGGAGGCAAGCTTAGCACCAAGGTAGGCGGGGAAACCCTGATCAGCAGGCATCTCTCCCAGACGACCAGAGATTTCACGGAGAGCCTCGGCCCAACGAGAACTGGAATCCGCCATCATAGCCACGTCCTTTCCTTGGTCACGGAAGTATTCGGCGATCGTAATACCGGTGTAGATAGAGGCTTCACGGGCGGCGACAGGCATGTTGGAGGTGTTAGCGATCAGGCAGGTACGCTTCATGATAGGCTCCTTGCGACCGTCGATGTCGATGGAAAGCTAAAGACACTGATCAGTAATAGTTGGTGTTCTTGCGGGTAAAGCGACAAACCTCGGGGAAATCCATCAACACTTCAGCCATCTCATTACCACGCTCACCGCAACCGACGTAGACGATGATATCACTGTTGGAGAACTTGGACACACTCTGAGAAATGACAGTCTTACCGCATCCGAAGGCGCCGGGAATGCAGACGGTACCACCTTGGACACTGGGGAAAAGAGAGTCCAAGACTCGCTGGCCGACAATGAACGGAGAGTCGGAGGCCAGCTTCTCGTTCACAGGTCTGGGCACACGGACGGGCCAGGTGTGCATCATACTGTGCTCAGTCTTCACGCCATTGAACTCGATTTCAAGAAGTTTCTCATCAACTGTGTAGCTACCAGCCTCGGCGATCCTGGTAATAGTACCCCTCGCGCGGGGAGGAAGGATGATCTTGTGGTCATTCACCAAGCTGTTCTCGAAAACGGTACCCCAGATGTCACCGCCAGTGATGTGATCGCCGACCTTGTATTTCCCAGGCTTGAAGTCCCATTTCCTCTCACGATCCAAGGCATTGACTGCAATACCACGGGGAATATAGATGCCCTTGGACTGTTCGGAGATATCCTTCAGGGGGCGCTGAATACCATCGTAAATCGTTTCCATCAAACCGGGACCGAGCTCAACCGAAAGAGGCTTGCCTGTACGCTGAACGGGGTCGCCAACCGTCAAGCCAGCTGATGGCGAAACTTGTTAGAGATTGAGATGGTGGAAAGCGGGAGATGAATGGTGCGGTACCGGTTTCCTCGTAGACCTGAATGGTGGCCTTATCTCCATCGATACGAATGACTTCTCCGACAAGCAGATCATGACCGACTCGACACTGCGGAGGTTATCAGAGACGATAAAGGCTGAATGTGGGGTTGTATCGACATTCGAGTCCCCCGTGCACTGTTATGGGGTAGAAGGAGCTGCGGGGAGAACCTACCAACTCGTACATAGCACAACCGATCATATGCTCGGCCACGACGACGGGTCCGGAGACGGAGAAGACGGAACCATGCTGGTTCTCGCCATCAGCAGCGGAGGGGGCCATCTTGTGTGAAGTATGGTCGTGGATGGAGGGAGTGGAGGAAGAGGGGCGGCGGTGGATGGGAGAAAGAGGGGAGGAGAGGCTGTTGTCGCTGCTGCAGGATGATGAAGTGGGCGACACGGGGAGCGGTGGCAGTTCCAACTGCTGGTTTTGGCCTTCTAGCTCAGGCGGTGATGACGACCTCGAACCAACTCCCGACAACACTGCGGCTTTTTGACTGGCAATCAGATCCAGCAACGAGGGTCGTGTGCGAAGTCGAGGCACGCCTAATCCTAACATCCGACTATAAGTTAATTATTGCTACAATATCTCCAATTGAATCGGCGTTTTCTCAGGTCTCGAAATCCAAGCTCTCCTAAGGATATCTGGGGCGGTGCAGGCTACCTGTTTACTCAGCCGTTTCTTGGAGACCGCACGGACGATCACCGGTCAATGGGATTAGATACTAGCTCGCCATCCCCAATAGCATCACAGCTAAACTCGATGGCTTTTTCGACCTTACATTACTTACTTGCGATACATACATCCTATACAGGACATAGATTTCCTTTTGGCAAAACAAGATTGCGCTTCAGAGAAGGTCATTGGAGTCTATGACACTAGATAAGAGCCCTCGCCACCGAACATGTCTGCCCGTCTCCTCATATGTCCTACTGCTCGATAGTGGTTCTTGATCTCCTTGGAGCTCAGCCTACAGGATCTTGGACATAATGGTCATCATTAGGGGTAAAAAATTATAGGTTGATAATATAAGTCATTTAGTCCTAAGGTACATGATAATCCAGAGGAACATTTCCACGCCTTGGCGAATGACATCCTCCACCATTAATCATCGTCATGATTCATCACTCAGGTGACCAGTTTGGACTGGATTCAAGAGGGGTGCAGGATTTTACTTCTATGAATATCTGTAAGTCACTCGTAAAATTCATGGGGAGAGGATCTCAACGTACGCCGCACTGCTTGCAAGAGCACGAGCTTCCGCAAGTGCAGCTGCTAGGTCCACTGCATCCGCAGGTGTTTCCGGAACCGCAATCGCAACCCATGTTGTTCGAAGTTGTGGTTGAATGGGATGATAAATGTATTGGTTTGATCGTTTGACTTATTGTTTTGGCTTCAACGCTGATGAAGGACTTGAGAACCTTGGGGACGAAGAAGTTATCTCTATATATACTTGTAGGTGCCGTGGCTTGAATCATGATGAGGTCAGTTGACGGATTATGTCATGGATGGGGAAGACAAAGACCCGAGTCAAGCCGAACCGATCGCATGTGTCGCACATAGATCCGGGCTTACTGTCCGATTGGTAGTGGTTGCATCGTCCTCGAAGTTCCTGACTTCAGTATAAAACTTGCACTGGGGTAAGTGGTTCTCTCGAGGCCCAGGCCCGGGGTAGACGGCGGCTTGGAGCCTCACATAACATCAGTGAGGCTCAGGCTGAGCAGAGCCAATGGTTGTACGCCCGAGGATGATGAGGAAATTAATCGATCAATTTAGAGGTCTCAGTTGGAGGTGTCAGCCAATTTTACATATATAGTCCTGCATCTGAGAATGTGAACATAGCTCCTTTTGACAAAGTTGGGGGATTCATAGCTTAAACAAGCTTGGCCATTACAATTCAGCCCAGCGGAATGAATATCAAGTCAATCACACAATCTCCTTGAACATCATGCAGTTGAATGCGTAGTATGAAGGACGAATTCTCGACCAAGTGATATATGTTATGTACATGGTGCTTCTGGTTCTCGTGTGTTCCCAAGATGTTCAGCATGCAAGTTATTGTAAAGCTTTGAACTGGCCCAACTCGATATATATTGTCTCGAGAATTCGACCATAAGCCAGGAAAACATAGTGACGACGGTTTGATGCTGTGTATGGTACAGTCAATCTGCGACTCTAATGATTGGCAGAGGGAGCACCGATACATATGTATATGTTGAGATACCATAGATAGCTGCTGTTCATATCTGGCCGGGACAAACCTCGTCTTTTAACAAACCGACTTACCATGGCCATTTGCGGAGTAATGAGGACACCGGGGAACTTCCGACGGGACCATGCATCAAAACCAGCGGTGAGAGATGTCGGGCGTTTGATCAGACAATGACAAACATTTTGTTTCTGTCACTGAAAGAGTCTCTCGAGCTATTTGATTCGTAAAATTTCATCCGAATCGAAGTAGATAGTTCTCTCACCCCCGTTATGTCTTGTCCTACAGTGAAGTATAGACCTGAGTCTCACTCTGACTATGCAGCGTAGTAGGGGTAGTTGTCAAGCTTCTTGTTCTGAAAAGAGATATAAAAAGGCATTCAGCCTCAGCAATGACGACATTGCCTGTAAACTATGCTTCAAGTGCCTCCCCGGAGCAATGACACTTGGAAGAAGAAGAAGAAGAGGAGGAGGAGGAGGAGGAGGAGGAGGAGAAGGAAGAAGTTCATGGCTCAGGATTGGCCAGCATAACCCCTCCACCTGGGCTGTAGCTTGTGGTACCATATGGCCCATGTGAGTCTCTTCACATTTACTTGCCATAACGGGCGGTTGGGTACATCTACGACATGCAACTAGGCCAAATGAAACGTAGTGGCGGACTCGGGCTCCTGCATGGCACGCCTACTTTTCTACATACCGTAGTAGTATTCTCGGTGGTTGTGATATCTAGCCGTCAGAGAGGCAGATAAGGCATCCGATCAGCGATTGCTCATGAGCGTATCGTGCCCCTGAGATAAAAGGGACAAAAGGCATGAGAACAACTCATTCCATGTGGCCGGACAGGTGTGCAGGTGATGTGTCGGGCTGCGGATGATCTGTGGCCAATATCGGTTGCGGATCTGTGGTCGTGCCCCTCCAATTCGGGTTTCCTCAGAATCGATGAGTATCAGATGGTGTCATTTGCGAGTATGTTGAAACCGAGTTAGCTGCGTGTCAGCTGCTTGCTTGATCGAAGAGGTCTTGGGGGTTCAGGTGATGCAAGCATCTCTGCTTCAATCCAGCTTGGGAAGGGCTTTCGGATATCGCTGGTTCTGAAACACATACTGTACATGACTTGCATACGATTTCAGAAGAAAAGGAACACCAAGGTAATGTGTAAGATATAGTACGGTAGGAAGCTCAAGGTAGTAGAAAACATACATACTGAACTAGTGTTGATCGCTGGTCACATACGAATGAATCATATTCGAGTTATACTACGGGAATGATTGCCTTTTTCCATGTATCGTCATACCCCCGTATGTATCATGGATATCGTCATTCATAGTAACTAGCAACTTGAAGTACCGTAGGTTGACTCGATTCGCATAGACCTCTTTGTTTCGAGTCTCTCGGCTACTCAGACAGTTGAAACTTTGTATAAGCATGTTTAGCCTCGAGACCAGGTACAAAACTGAAATGGGCAAACGAAATGATGGTTTAGTTTATGGGACTGATGAATTGGGCAGGTGTGGGTAATGGAAGAAAGAGCACGGGGGCGGAGGGAGGGGGTGGGATTGACAGGCAGGCAGGCATTCAATAAGCATTGATTGTCGGGGGCTGCTTAGCCCCACGGGAAGACAGTTCAGTCAGTCAATCAGTCAGTCAGTAGTCAGTGAGACCCAGCAGCCGCCGATGTGCTCGACCTCAACCTCCGCTCTAATCCTCCAGTTGTTCCTCAATCAACCCACCTAAAGTTTTCTCTTCCCCTCGTCCATAATATTCCCTTTCCACTTACTAGGTTCTTAAATATCTCCGGCTTGGTCATTCCGGCCATTTTTAAACCTGTTTTTGGTGCCCCCCTTCACGCCTTTCTAGCTCTTCCATTCCCCATTATCCGGTGACCTCTCGTGGGAGCAGTCAGTTAACCCCCGTCCAAGCCCGATAAGCCCTCTCCGCTTGTCTACTGTAAGAAGCACTTGGCTCTCGACCAGCACGCATGGCAGAGCTCATCTGAACGCCATGTGATACAGATTATAACTAACAGACGCTCTGCAACAAGCAGATTGGTAGACTACTGAGGCTCGTGACAAGGTTGCAGACGTACATACAGTACACTGACCTTCGGCGAACATCAGTGAACCGCCACTGATAGAGGTCTGCTCCCCTGGTTCTCCAACAGAGCCAGGTGAAAGGGCAGATCCAGAAACATTCGAACTGGCAGACAATCCTCCTCCATATATACCCTCCTCCGCCGCTCCCGACCACCCCGACCACCCCGATCCCCCTCCACCCCTCGCATCCTCGCCGCCACTTCGCACCACTTCCGCCACGAGCGGCCTTTCCGCAGCGTCCCTCCGTAACTCGGTCATCGGTGATCAGATTGGCACAAGAAGTCCTAGTGGCATCTCATCCAGATCGTCTCGCCGACGTCGCCGAAGTATAACACCTACCTCTCGAGGTCCGATAACAGAGGGTACGGGAGGTCTTGCGGGAGGAACGGCGAGCGAGGCCGGCCATCAAGCAATCCAACCACACGACTCGTCGGCGGGCTACACACCATCTCCCAAGCGCAGGCGCCTGGCAAATATGCGTCCCGATGGGATATCCAGTACAAATGGCTCTTCCCATACGCTTAATGGTTCGCCTGCGTCTCCATCGCAAAAGGCAGCATTTCCGTTGTCGATGAACGGCCAAGCCTTGCATACAACCTCCAATGGAGACTTGCACACAAATGGATCGCAAAAGTCGAGGCTAAATTCCTCTACCTACTTCGGTCACGATCGGGAAGAGATTACAAGGATCTTGATACAGAGTCTCTACGAGCTTGGCTATGACGGAGCGGCATCATTGTTGAGTAAGGAGAGCGGTTATCAACTGGAAAGCCCAGCGGTTGCTACGTTCAGGAACGCGGTTCTTGAGGGGCGATGGGCTGAAGCGGAACAAATCTTGGTCCACTCATTTCACTATGAACGGGATAGTGGCAGGGGAGGACGTCGCACCGAGCAGCATCCCACCAAGGAGAGATTAGTCTTAGTGGAGCATGCCGAAAAGAACGAAATGCTCTTCCATCTCCGACAACAAAAATTCCTGGAGCTGTTGGAGGCTCGAGATCTGGGTGCGGCTTTAATAGTTCTCCGGCATGAACTAACACCCCTCAATTATGACATTGGTCGTTTGCATGCTCTTTCGAGGTGGGACCTATACCTAGCATTCCCATTGATCAGAAAATGTGCCGCTAACTTACTATCAAAAAGCCTGCTCATGTGCCCTCCTGAGCATCTTCACGATCAAGCTGGTTGGGACAGCCCAATAAGCTCTTCTCGAGAACGTTTATTATCGGAATTGTCAAGTATGTCGCAACTCAAATCCATTCCATCAATCTGAACTCACACTTCTGCAGAGTCCATTTCGCCTTCTGTTATGATCCCGGATAATCGTCTTGCTATTCTTCTAGACCACGTCAAGCAGAATCAAATCAATCAATGTTTGTATCACAATACGGCAAATCCTCCCTCTCTCTATTCGGACCATATGTGCGATCGAAAGGATTTTCCTCTCCGGACAGAGATTCAATTGACCGAGCAACGGGATGAAGTCTGGTGGTGCTCCTTTTCGCATGATGGGACCAGGCTGGTCACAGCCTGCAAGGATTCCACAGTGATTCTCTACGACACGGATACTTTCACTGTGCTCCACACGCTCAAGGAGCACACAGATGGTGTTGTGCATTGCGAATTCAGTCCGGACGATTCGAAACTCATTACTTGCTCCCAAGATAAGACCGCTCGCGTATGGAGCGTCGAGGTAAATTCTCCACTTAATGCTCTCATTCCTTTCGCAATGCTAACACGGAACACAGACCGGCCGTTGTCTGTTAACCATAAATCATCATCGGCAACCAGTAACGTCTGCAGCATGGGCTCCAGACGGTGAGACGTTCGTCACGGCTTCTCTTGATCTTAGCACGCAACTTTGTTATTGGAGCATGCGCGGGCATAACCTACACTCTTGGGATGGTGGTTTCAGGGTACAAGACTGTACTATGACTCCTGACGGTCGGAGACTAGTCGCGGCGGATCTGGAGGGAAAATTGCATGTTTACAACTTTGCCACGCGTGACGAAGAATATTGCCTTACAACGAAAAGCAGGCCGACGTCGGTGGCTGTCAGCAAGGACTCGCGGTATCTGCTTGTTAATCTGGCCGACAATCAACTGCAGCTTATTGACCTCAACACGACGGAAGTGGTACGGCGCTTCCAGGGGCAGAAACAGGGCAATTTCGTCATCCGCAGCGTCTTTGGAGGCGCTGCTGATAACTTTATTGTGAGCGGGAGCGAAGGTGGGTTTTGGATTTCCCTCCTTTGTTGGATGTTTGGGCTAATCCCGTCACAGATTCTCGTATTTACATCTGGCACAAAGAGAATGGAACTCTCGTCGAAGTGCTGGAAGCGCATACCCGGGGCTGTGTGAATTCATTATCATGGAATCCGGCTAATTCGGGGATGTTCGCCTCAGCAGGCGATGACTACATGGTCAGAATGTAAGACGTTGCCCTATCTACCCCACACTTGATAGAGTCCAGGCTGACTATATTTCAAGATGGACCAAAGAACGCGATACACGACCGGGCGCTGCAGCGGCTAAGCATAGGGCTGTGTCGGGGAACGGGTTTGCCCGCACCAGTGCTCTGCGTTCGACATCACGGTTCTAAAGGAGCCTCTCCTGGAGAAGCTCCTAATGCTTTCTTTCCGAATGTTGTTATCGTACCTCAATGGAGGCATAAACATCGACCTTCTTCTAGCGGCTGATGAAACTACCCTTTGGATCGAACCTCCCTGCCGATCTTCACGGCTATCTCCACTCGATCTCTCCCAGATCCCCTACCACTATGCCACTTTTGATCCCTGCATATAAGCATTTTCTGGTCTTTCCAGTGATTCTACATAATAAAGGTGTGCAGGCGCCACTGTTTTTGGTACACATTCGTATATGTTGTGCATCGATTCCTTCAGACCAACCACCGCCCCCTCAAACCTCCAACCCGATATCTCCAGCATTGTTCTGTCATACCTCGGCAGTCATGCCAACCGCATTCACACCTCGTGCCTATACGACATATAATGACATTACATGCTGGCTTCTCGTCCGAACCCTCATTCGTTCGACTTCGTTCTTTTTCTTTTTCTTTTTGATGTTTTCGCAGTTTGGGTGATCATGAAGGTTTGGGACAAATCGAGGAACTGGTTCCTGGGCGGCGAAGTGAGAACTTGGGTCTGGCTTATTCCTTCTTTTTTTTTATATCTCGCTATGAGTTACTCTACTATAGGTATCAAATATCATTACTTTATTTCTCTCGATGTCTCAGTTTCTCCCGTCTGGTGCGGTCCCGACTTCACTATTCGTGCCGTGAGCATGCGTGGACCATTGCGTTCAGCTTGGTAAGGCTATTATGGTATGGATCCGCTTCTGAGGCTGGGGTCCTTCTAGAGGCGAGGCTTTGCAGACTGAAACAATGCACGAATGGGTCCACAATGATATACCGAGAGACACACGAAAGGAAATGACGAAGGCTTAACCAAGTAGCGGACCGCTTTTTATATTATTTTGGAAATGGAAAAAAAAGGAAAATAGTGTATCTCCTGACAATGAAAAAGAAACCCCAAAAAAAGCTAGAATTACCCCAGAAGATGAAGATCGAAGATTAGACGCCACGGATAGTAAACAAAGAGATACGACAGAACGCTGGTCGGGCGTCGAATAGACCTTAAAATGAACAAGACCCTTGCATAAGCGTCATTTGATGGTGACATAACTGGAGCCTTGGTTAGCACTGCGCGCACTGGATTGAATGTCGACAAAACCTACCAGACTAGTAAATTTCCCATTTCCTCCACACTAGTGTTGACTTTCCGTCGTGCCCAGAGCCTAGATACTCTCTTTCGATCATGGTGGGAAGTGATAAGGAAGGGTGCCAGCTAGTGAGCAACTGATTTGCGGGACATGCCATAGCTCGAGCGCAACTTGAACTTTTGGAAAAGGAAATTGCAGATAGATGACTCGTAGAGATTAGGAAAGAAGATCGGCAACTGTTGGGGAGGGGATTAGCATATGATATTTTGGTTTCCATTGATTGGGTGGAAGCGCTTACCGTTCATAGGCATCTCATCGATCTGAGTGGAATAATACAATTCAATGTCGCGGAGGATGCGCACGTCGTCGCTGGTGACGAAGTTGATGGCGACACCCTTGCGGCCGAAACGACCGCTACGACCGATACGGTGGATGTAGTTCTCACGGTTGGTGGGGAGGTCGTAGTTGATGACCAGGGAGACCTGCTGGACATCGATACCACGCGCCCAGACGTCGGTGGAGATCAGCACCCGCGAGTTGCCCTGGCGGAAATCCTGCATGATGCTGTCGCGCTCCTTCTGGGGCATCTCGCCGTGCATGCTGGAGACGGTGAAGTTGGCCTCGCGCATCTTGTCGGTGAGCCAGTCGACCTTGCGGCGCGTGTTGCAGAAGATGACGGCTTGCGTGATCGTCAGGGTGTCGTACAGATCGCACAGGGTATCGAACTTCCACTCCTCCTTCTCGACGGCGATGAAGTACTGCTTGATGCCTTCGAGCGTCAACTCGTCACGCTTGACCAGCACGCGCACGGGGTCGGTCATGAACTTGGTCGTCATGTCGAGCACATCGTAGGGCAGCGTGGCGGAGACGACCACGACCTGGGTGGCCGGGGGCAGGTAGCGGTAGACATCGTAGATCTGCTCGCGGAAGCCGCGGTTCAGGAGCTCGTCGGCTTCATCGAGAACCAGCATCTTGATGTGCCGGGTGCGCAGGTGGCGGCGGCGGATCATGTCGGCAACGCGACCGGGTGTTCCCGAGACAACGTGCTGACCATAGTCGAGCTTGCGAATATCCTCTCCGATGTTGGTACCTCCAATACAGGCGTGGCATTGGACGTTCATGTAGTCGCCGAGGGCCATGATGACGGACTGGATCTGGGTGGCAAGTTCGCGGGTAGGGGAGAGAACGAGGGCTACCGGCCAATGTGTGAGCTTATGATTCCGCATGCAAGATCGTGGTGTGCAAATGGTGTGAGCCACATACCCTGGGTTTCGCGAACAACGGTATCGATAACCTGGAGGATACTGATCGAGAACGTAGCTGTCTTACCGGTACCGGATTGCGCCTGGGCAATGGTATCGCGACCCTTGCAGATCTGAACGATCGCACGGGACTGGACAGCAGAGGGGGACTCGTAGCCATAAGCGTAGATACCACGAAGAAGGCTTTCCTTCAGGTGCATGTCCTCGAAGGTAGGAGCCACAGTGACCTCCTTCGAGGTGTTGAACTCCATCCGGTCTGAATTTGCGCGGTCAGTGAATGAATCCTCGATCTCAAAGGTCATTTGAAAGCCATACCATCGGCGCGTCTGTCAATACCGTCCGCCATTTTTAACCACTGAAATATCTGATAATATAGATTGATTCAAACAATAAAGGACCGCAGTCTGGAATCAGAGGTACTGGTCTGGTGGAGTGGCCGGAGCTCGCGACTTTTCGCAGCGATCGAGGACTCACCGCCCGCTCCACGTGACCGCAATTCGCCCGCAAAGCTCTCATGGGTGGCGCCGATAGAGCGGCGTAACATCCTCCAATCTGGGGTGAGCATTACATCGCATAGACGAACGGACACTCTGTGCGCGCTTTCAACATGATTCTTGAAGAACAGAGATTTATTCATGAGGACCTGGAGCGGTTAGAGCAGGCCATTGCCGACCGCGTGGCTGAAGAACCTCGTAATGTACGTGTGCGCTCCGTTGTCACAGTCACCGCAGATGCTAACTATTGCTCTTCAATATAGCTACGCGACCGCCTGAACCGCGACCATGAGGTCTCACACTTTCTCAACCGCATAGAGGAACAGTCAAAGAGACTGCTGGACATTTACAAGGATACCGATGGCGCGCGCAACAAGGAGATCCAATCTATCTCGACCGGCGATCAGTTCGAGGAGTTTTACCGACAGCTGGACGAAATCAAGGACTTCCACAAGCGCTACCCCAATGAACCGGTCGAGAACCTCGAGCGGGCCTACAAGCGCCGTCAGCTTGGCGAGGGTGAGACGACCGGAATGGAAGTTGACAATCTGTTCACCGGTGAGGAAAGCTACGGGCAGTTCTTGGACCTGACGGCCTTGCACGAGGAGTACCTAAACCTCCCCGGTGTGAAGAGGCTTTCGTACGTCCAATACCTCGACATCTTCGATGCGTTTACGCCCCCGCAATTGCCGATCAAGCGCAGCAACAAGATCTCAGATAGATACTTCAAATATGTCGGCGAGCTCGCGAGTTACCTGGAAAGCTTCATCAAGAAGATCAGACCGCTACAAGATCTCAGCAAGCTCTTTGCTAGCTTCGACGATGAATTCGAGAAACAATGGTCGGCGAACGAGGTTCCGGGCTGGACGGAGGAGAAGGCAGAGAATGGGACTCAGGGCCCGAAGACTGAAGGGTCTGGGGAAGGCATCTGGTGTGCTGATTGCGAGAGAGAGTTCACGAATGAGAACGTCTACAAGAACCACCTGACGGGCAAGAAGCATATCCGTGCCGCTGAGGCTCGTAAGGCCGCCGGTGACTCCAGCGACAGACCCGCGCCAGCTGCTGGCAGCGGGATCCCAGGTGCCCACAGATTGAAGGAACGCGCGGTGGCAGAGAGGGAACATCGCGTCCGGTCCCTTACGCAAGTCCTTAGCGCAGAGCGTGAGGCGACCAAGATCAATGTCGAGCGCAAGCAGGGCATGACTGAGAGGGAGCGTCAAATGGAACTTGAAGCGCTACTGAACGAATCCGAATACACCGGCGGAGATCGTGGAAACGACCAATCTGATGATGAAGGCGACGATCGAATTTACAACCCTCTCAAACTGCCACTTGCCTGGGATGGAAAGCCCATCCCTTACTGGCTCTACAAGTTGCACGGTCTTGGTGTCGAATACCCATGCGAAATCTGCGGAAATTTCGTATACATGGGCCGTCGCGCCTTCGACAAGCACTTTTCCGAGGCCTTGCATATTTTCGGCCTGAAGTGTTTGGGAATCACGTCGAACACCAATCTCTTCCGTGAGATCACTCGGATTGACGAGGCATTGCGACTATGGGAGAAGCTTGAAAAGGACCGTAAGAAGGACAGAGACAACCGTGACAACGTGGTGCAGATGGAGGATGCGGAAGGAAACGTGATGCCGGAGAGAATCTACCTTGATCTCCAGAAGCAAGGTATTTTGTAAGCGGCGTTTCTCACTTCTTTTCAACACATGGCCTCATCTATTTGTCTTGTTGCTTTACTTTGAAAAGCCTGGAGTTCGGCGGTGTTTTCTTTTTCTTGTTGTTTATGGCTGCCACCTGGACCACTGGGATCATTGTTGGTTAGAATTGATCAGTCAATCGCAGCAGCTTCTAGGGCTCTGCACATTATGTATTCTATGCGAAGGATTCATGAGCATAATTCGAGTTTCTCTGCTATCCAACGGCTCCAAGAGTAAATGAGAAAGATGGCCAGTGTTCACTAATTAAGACCAAATCTGGTTCGCATCACGTGCCTTCGCGATCCATGGACGCGTCTCCCTGGCTCTTTCCCGACCTTTTTCGCACCCTTGCTTTGCAGATAGGTTCATTGTCCCGGCCATGGTTCATTGACCCTTCAGTCTTCTATCGTGTCAATGCGGTCTCGTGTATTTGAAGCTTTGGACACCTCTAGGAGCCGGTGTCTCAATGATCGCAGACGCGTCTATCTATCTGATTGATGGGGTTCAAATTCACTCATTTGTGCGATCTACTCTCCACTCTCGAGGACAACAGAATCTTGAAGGCGACACATGAAGCGCGAGCATTCAATCCTGATGTGCGGGCCGTGACTCGGTGGTTTTACCAGCATGGGAAACAGATACGTGGCCCCGACACTGATCTTCTGGCCCTGTTGTCCTGCATGTTTCCCGAGAAGAGACCAGACAGGGTCTACTGGCTGCAAGAAACCTCGCTGGCGAGGATTATAGCGCGATGCTTACTTCTCGGGTCCTCCAGACGGGCAGAGCTCGAGCGTTGGCGCGTGTCCAGCGGACTCGACCTCGGCCAATGTGTCGAAAATGTGATGCGGCAAGCGGAGAACGATCTCGACCCCAGTCGAGAGGTAACGGTCGAGGAAATTGACTCTGCATTGAACAGTATTGCTGCCCGTTGCAGATTCTCCGGTCCTCGAGTGCGAAAGCAGCACACCGCGGTTGACGTCGAGCAGGCTCTAGGCTCTCTCTTCAAGCGACTCAGGAGCAGGGATGCAAAGTGGTTAACGCGCATGATACTCAAGGGGTATTACCCTGTTGTATTTCCTTTGCCCTTGACGTTGCGGAGCTTCCACTTCCTCCTTCAGCCTCTCCTTCTCTTCCAAGACACATTCGAGGGTGCGCTCAGTATGCTCCGCTCCGACCCCATCAGCCATTTCCCGCCACACCCGGACCCTGGATTGGCCAAGGACCTGGCTTATCTGGCCTTGCAACATCTCAATCCTAGGGTTGGGGTCAAGATCGGTCGACCGGAGTACCACAAGGCCCGGAGCATCAAGCACTGCTGTCGCATGGTCAATCGCCGTCGAATGAGTATTGAAAGGAAGTACGATGGTGAATACTGTCAAGTACATATTGACCTCACGTTGGGCCCTAATTCCATACAAATATTCTCTAAAAGCGGTAAAGATTCTACTGTCGACAGGATAGGTATCCACCAGGTCATCAAAGACTCCTTGAAATTAGGAGCGCCTGGGTGCAAGGTCTCCCAGAGGTGCATTCTTGAAGGTGAATTACTTGTCTGGAGTGACAAACACAACAAGATCATGGACTTTCATAAGCTGCGTAAATTTATACCTCGGTCCGGTACCTTCATTGGTACTGAAAGCGATTCCCCGTGAGTTTCGCAATAGGATATCATCTACAATTCTGTTGCTGACTGCAGCCAGACCGCAACCCCATGAACATCTGATGATGGTTTTCTTCGACATTCTGCTTCTCGATGATAATATATGCCTAAGGCGGCCGCATCGGGAACGACGTCTACTTCTCAAAGACATCATACACGTTGTCCCCGGGCGTGCAGACATTGCTGAGCAACAAATAGTGGATTTCTCGCGACATGACGGCCAGGCCCGACTGGAGAGCATCTTTTCCAGAGGAATTGCACAGCGGTGGGAGGGCTTTGTACTCAAAGGATGCGAGGACCCCTACTTTACCATCTTCTCAGGCCAGGAGAATAACACGTTCGGCCGCTGGATCAAGCTCAAGAAGGATTATATACCGGGGCTGGGTGATACGGTTGACCTCGCAATCATTGGCGCGAGATATAATCCGCAAGATGCTACAGCCCTACACCAAGTCAGGAAGCTGCTATGGACGGAGTTCTACGTCGGCTGTCTCACCAACAAAGATGCAGTTGCGCAGTTCAACGTCTCTCCTAAGTTTAAGGTTGTGGATGTGCTTGACCGCAATGGCATGAGTTTGAAGAACATGCAGGTCCTCAATCAGTTCGGCGAGTTTCATGCCTGCAACGCCGAATCTGACCACAGGTTCTCACTTCATTATGGAACAAATGTCGCCTCCAGAATGGAAGTTGTGTTCAAGACTCCCTTCATTGTCGAGATACTCGGTAGTGGGTTTGAGAAACCATCCAATGCTGGATATTTCGCACTTCGCTTTCCGAGAATCACCAAGATACACTGGGATAGGGCTCTCGAGGATGCGGCATCATATGCTGAGCTGCAACAACTGGCCGAAGACGCTCGAGCTGTTCCCACGGATGACATGGGCACGGAGCGAAGCGAGTGGTCCAAGCGCGTGAAACTTGGAACTGGATCAGCACATCATGTCTCAAATGAACGATCTGGAAGCATTTCTTCCAGTCAAGGCTCAACATTGAGGTCGGGGACCAACACCACCGCTGCCATTCTCTCAAGCGACCCACCGGATATACCATCGCCTGCTCCCAACCCCTTAAAAAGATCGACCACGCTGCTAACGTCGCCTAATGTTCCAATTTGTCCGAACAGCCGTGCCGTGCCTATATATGCAGATGGACCTGTGGACCGGGCTCCATCAGCTGAAAACAAAGCTGGTCGACAGAATCCTTTGACCAATAATGAGAACCTGTCGGCTCATACCTCTCGCCAGCGAGGATATGTAAACCGCAACCCCGATTCTGAACACGCAGACAAGTCAATTCCTCGGCCTCGAGAGCCTGGTCAGGTCAGCACCCTAGACAGTACCGAGGTTTTAAGGACTGGACGATGCAGCAGCCTACCTTCACCTTCACCACCGCAGATATCTAGCTTCACCAATATAGCTGATAATCGTCCTCACAAACCAAATCCACCTCTCGCATCTCTACTCCTGAATATCCCCATATATATCACTCCAACGTGCAGCAACCACACAGCCCCCCAGCAACCCCATCCGCAGCACCACACCCAAGCCCTTGCCAACTTCCTGGATATCCTGCTGACACACACGCCAAAGACGACAACACCATGTCCACGCCTCGGACTCGTCATCCTGACCGGCAACGAATCCTCCCTCGGCCACCTCCTCTTCGACCTCAGCAAACGCATCACGCGCGCCCTGCAAACCAGAAGCATAACTCACCCTCCAACCGGCAAAGTCTTCGTCCTAGACCGAAGCTTCCTGAATCTCAACATCAGCCCCGATGATGCCAGGCTCGGCCTCCGTCACACCTGGGAGTCAATCGGGAGACGGTACTTCTATGCGTGCGTGAAGTGGGATCTCGGCGGGACGGGGGAGCGTACTTCGCATGACGACGGTCTTCATGCAAGCCCTATGCACTGTCACCAGAGAGCAGCGGAGGGCCGTGGGAGAGGGACACGTAAAGACGTCGATATCAAGGCTACGATTAGTTTCAATTGGCGAACGCTGCTTCTGCTGAGCGAGTTATTCGCGGTGACCCAACCCGGTGGTGCATGTTGACGAAGGTGGTCTTTGTAACCCTGGGCTTTGCTACATCGCTCTTTCTTGAATAGGCCAGCATATATGTTGTGGCCCTTTCTGGGTGTTCTGCATAGATTCACATTGGAATGTATGTATAATGAGATCGACAGAAGACACTAGACCGTTTTGTCAAAATGAGATGCCATACGAGTTACAACGCTTAATCGAGTGGCCCCCTATGGTACTGGCTTGTCTAGTTCGTATACAGATATAATTCGAGACACTTTACAAACCGAGATTCCATAAAAACGCCTGGCTAATTCGAAGGGGTATGAGACACCTAAACATGCATGCATCAACCGCCCTCCCTTCTGGCGCGAACGTCTCTCATCAAAGCCTTGGCCTCTTCCACCTCCACCCCATCCTGGCACAACTCGCCGGCCAGTTGATCCGCGCGATCCAGATCGCCGCCGCGGAGCGCCCACCGAGCGAGCCACAGCCGCGCCTTGGACGTCGTCGCGGTGACCCCCGTGCCGTGCCATGTATCCTCCTCTTCTTCTGTCTCCCTCGACGACTTGCGCGTGCGGCGCGAGCTGGACGGAACATCCGTGCCGGACTGATCGTCGTCGGACGAGACCTCTTCCTCCTCCTGGACGACCTGCCCGGACTCTTGTTGCAGGGTGAGCTCCATGTACGTGGCGGCTTCCTCCTCGTCGCCCAGGCGCTCGTAGAGCGTGGCGATCTGGTGTAATGTCTCCGGATCGAGAATCTTGCGGGCAGGGCCGCCGCCGCCGCCGCCCATGCCACCGACCTGGGAGGAAGAGTCCTCGGCGTAGTAGGAGCCGGCAACGAGGGCCCGTTTCAGGGCCTTGATGCTCTGCTCGATGCGGCCCATCTTGGCATAGCACGATCCCACGGCCTGCCACATCTTCGGGTCGTACGGCCGCAGGGCGGCGGCGCGTTGGTAGTAGAACAACGCGTAGAAGGACATGTCGAGGACTTCGTAGGCTTGGCCTAACCCGTACCAGGCGCGGTAGTCTTTGCGGTTCACGTCGACGGCCCGCCGGTAGGACTCGATCGCGGCGTGCGTGTTCTTCATCTCGATGTATTCGTGGCCCATCAGGGTCCAGGCGGAGAGGAAGTTCCGGTCGAGCGTCAGCGCGCGGCGGAAGTACATGACTGCTTTTTCGTGCTCGGATTTGAGCGAGTAGTAGTTTCCTACGACGCAGCACGTCTCGGGACGGAATTTGTCGGTCGCCGTCGCGACTTGGGCGACGAAGGCGAGCTGCGGGCGCTCGCCCATGACATAGAGGATGTTGGAGTAATGGTCGAGGCTGTCGAGGCGGTGGGGTGAGGTGATGAGGATGTCTGTGAAGATGTGCGATGCTGCTTCGAAATCTGTGGAATCCGTCGGGTCAGGCTCAGAGAAAACGTCTCGTGCGAAGCAATCTTACCTTTCGAGTGGTAGTAGAGGAGTGCTCTCTGTGTCTTGAGGAAGGCGCTTGTTGGGAAGATCGTCTCCAGCTCGGACAGAGCCTGGTACGTATCATCTGTGGCTTGATATAGCTCTTGGCTACAGTATACGTGGAATATGAGAGTCATGATGTTCTGCGGGAGAAGATCGACAATTTGTTTCAACTGCACACAGTGGTTAGCGAACAACTTGTCAGATGAAGCTGAGGTGTGCGTACGTCTTCCGTGCTGGCCAGTAAGTCGTTCAATTCTTGCCACGAGCCCCAGTGGAATGGGTTCAGGTGCACGCTCCGAATCAGCCACTTTTTGGCCTCATCCTCATTCCGCCCCTTGAGGAGTATGACACCGTAAAGGTATTCCAACCAACCCTGGTTCCGACCTTCCAGTCCCTTCTCGCGTCGCTCGGTAAACCATCCTTCTAGGCCGCGAGCCAGATCTGGCAACTCCCGGTTGACTGTGGAGCCTCCATCAGCGGGACCTAGTACCATCTCCGTCTCCTCATCCTTGCGCTTCTCGCCTGCCAGGTACTTGGCATACAAGGCGAGGAACAAGGATTTCTGGCTGAGCCTAGGGTAGGGATTCCTTGTCGCACCATTGTCCTTCACCCCTGCGAACGGCGATGCCTTAGATTTGCCTTTCTGCGGAGTCAACGATTGCCTATGTTTCGGGTTGGGCGATGCAGTCGCAAGAGGGATGGGGGATATAGTCGGAGGCAAGAAGACGGCGGCACAGCGATCGTATTCGCGGGTGTCAAAGTATGACTTGGCCAGGAGATATTTATACGACTCTTGCGCCTCGAGCGCCGCTTCTAAGGAGTCTTGGGTCCGGAGGTAGGGGTTTTGGGCGTTCGGAGGAGCATCGGGCTGGTCCATTGGTGAATCGGGATCCGTTTCATACTGGTCGATTGGGACGAGGGAGTCGAGCATCTCCGCAGCCCTGACAATCCTGTTAGCTTTCCTTCATCGCACGGGTTGACGAGGAGTCAGTTGGCGACGGTACCATTTTGCCGATTGGTAGAGGCATCGTTCGGAGCACTTGATCGCCGCATCTTCGAGTCGGAACTTCAGCTCCTTGATGTTCTCATCTGTGAATTGAGTAGCCATCTGGCGGTAAGGATCCTGCGCGCAAACGCAGGTAGATTGACAGCCGTATTGCCCGGTTCGTCAAGTAGATTTGGAAAGGTTTGTGAATCTAGTAATGCGCAAGGGCCATTGCACGAGGCTGTTTTGATTGAGCTTCGGAGAGCTTGACCAAACCCGCGACGAAGGGTGCGGGAGTGATTGTCACGCGTCCAAAATGACCAGAAACACTGGAAATTTGCGGGAAATGAGGCCAGGAGTCGGTATAGTAGCAATGCGACAAGAGCAGCCACAAACACCTCGCAATGCTTTCGCGCCGCAGCAAATAGATGCAGCAGGAGCAGGACTGGACCTACTGGACTGGACTCGGGACTGGAATGGAGCCCGGGAGTAAGTGAATTTCCCTTTTGGGCCAGCAGTAGCAAACACGGCAAACAGCGGGGCGTCGCAAACAATAATTTACCCATAATTGTATGGGGCATTGATCTTGGCTGGCGGTTGCTTTGTCTGTTTCCCTCCGCCTCCCCCCCTCTCCCTCTCTCTCTCCCCCCTCCTCCTCCTCCTCCCCCCCCACTGTTTAACTATCGTTGTTGCGACTTTCTTTTTCTTTTCCTCTTCCTCTTCCTCTCTCCTTCTCTCCCCTTCCCTCCTCGCTCGCTGTTCACAGTGATACTTTCGCACAATGCCTTCCACCACCAGCCGTGCCTCTTTCGAGGCTATCTTCCCCACAATCCGCGATGATCTCCTGAACTCTGCGAAGCAATACAACTTGCCCCAGAATGCGCTCGAATGGTTTGAGAAGGTTTGTACTCCAGCCAAACCCCGCGCTATGTCGTGCTAGATTACAGGAGAGACTCACTAAAACTTTTCACTGCCGCGCGCATAGAACCTCAATGTCAATGTTCCTGGTGGAAAACTCAACCGCGGTCTTTCCGTCCCCGATACCGCTCTGGCTCTCCTGAAGCAGCCCCTGAGCGAGGAGCAGTTCAAGCACTTGAGCATGCTCGGCTGGCTCACGGAGCTGCTCCAGGCTTTCTTCCTGGTCAGCGACGACATCATGGACAGCTCCATCACCCGCCGTGGCCAGCCCTGCTGGTACCGTCACGACGGCGTCGGCCTGATCGCGATCAACGATGCCTTCCTGCTCGAGTCCGGCATCTACATCATCCTCAAGAAACACTTCCGCTCCCACCCCGCCTACATCGACCTTGTCGAGCTGTTCCACGAGATCACCTACCAGACCGAGCTGGGCCAGTTGTGCGATCTAATCACCGCCCCCGAGGACAACGTCAACCTAGACAACTTCTCCATGGAGAAGTACATGTTCATTGTCACCTACAAGACCGCGTACTACAGCTTCTACCTCCCCGTGGCGCTGGCCCTGCACTACCTCCAGCTCGCGACCCCCGAGAACCTCCGCCAGGCCCACGACATCCTGATTCCTCTCGGTCAGTACTTCCAGGTCCAGGACGACTACCTCGACGCCTACGGTGACCCCGCCGTCATCGGCAAGATCGGCACCGACATCCAGGACAACAAGTGCTCCTGGCTGGTGAACCAGGCCATCCAGCGTTGCACCGCGGAGCAGCGCAAGGTGCTCGACGCCGCGTACGGTCGCAAGGACAGCGAGCAGGAGGCCAAGGTCAAGGCTCTCTACAAGGAGCTCGACCTGGAGAAGGTCTACCTGGAGTACGAGGAGAAGGTGGTTGGCGAGCTGCGCGGCAAGATCGACAGCATCAACGAGGCCGAGGGCTTGAAGAAGGAGGTCTTCGAGGCCTTCCTGTCCAAGATCTACAAGCGTAGCAAGTAAACGGTCGGACGAACGATACCCCTTCTAATCATCGCGACACTTCTTCTGTCTATCTTTTAATTAGTGCATACATACCCCCTCTGAGATAGACTAGCTGAACTACCAGACGAAAATACAGCATGCATTGTGATTTACTGCCGGTCGATTGTACTGTAATCTGCTTTTCTGTCTGAGGACGCCGCGTGATCAGCATTCAATACATACGCTCGGATTTAGCCATTGGAAGACCTGTCAGTTTTGGGCCTAGACACCAGCTAAGGACATCAATTCCCAAATCGAACGCATCTCATAGGAGTACCAACCTCGCGTGAGGAGAATGGGATCATTTTTATCGATACTAATTAAAGATTCGTCATCTCCTCAACCTGCAAAACCCAACGACCAGTCACACGTCTAGTAGAGAAACGCATTGCCCGACGGCAACCACTCATTTCCAACGCGTGGACCACACCACACTATCATGCATCGTTCACCATGCACCATGCACCATGCTTTTGACACATATATCGCAAGAGACTCATACTATCACTCCAAGTGGGCCCCTCCCCCCTATCCTCGGGGCACGGATGGCAGCCAACCGATTTGCAACCGCCGACGGCCCAAAGTGTGGATCTTCCGCCGGAGGTGTTTATGAAGATCGAAGATCCGCCTCGCATTCGTTCGGCTTGAGCTCCCTCTTCCTTTTGATCTCCGCCTCTCCGACGGACTGAATATGCGACTCTGAGCCCTCTCTTCTGTGTTTGATTTTGACGCTACCGCTACCGCTACCGCCCCGCAGCTCAATGCCCCGCATTCCCAGCGATAATCATGCCGTTGACGCAGGGCTCAACTTCCCTCCTACTGCCACTGCTACTGCTACTGCTACTGCTGCCAGCGGCGGTCCTCGCAGATGAAGGCCCCTACAACCAATCGCAACTCTACGACCAAGGGCGCATGGGCTCGTGGCCCACGGAGCTCTTCCGGTCGACCACGACCGTCGGGCTGGCCGTGAACTGGGTGCAGACCAGCCCGCGCTGCAAGGCCGCCGGGGAGTACTACCTGCTCGCGCCGCGGGGCGCCAGCGTCCACCGTCCGGGGCCCATGATCCTCGACCCGGACGGCCACCTGGTCTGGACCCGGGAGTACGGGCAGACGTACAACCTGGACGTGCAGCGGTACCGGGGCCGGGAGTATCTGACCTTCTGGGTGGGGAGCGATGCCGATGTTGGGCATGGGAGGGGCACGTATTTCATGGTATGTTTGCTTTCTTTTCTGGCTTGTCTTGCCGGGGGGGGGGGGTGGTTAGACAGTGTTGAGCTTTTCTCTGGGGAAGGGGGAACCGCTGAAGAAGTGAGACAAAGATTCTAAATCTCCATGCGTGGCATGTTGGCCAGGAATAAAGCTCGACTCCTCGTATCAAGAAGCGTATAAGTTCACGGCGGCGCGGAACCTCCCCGGCGATCTGCACGAGTTCCACATCACGCACGACGACACGGCGCTGCTGACCAGCTACGACCGGCGGCGCGCCGACCTCTCGCGGGTGGCCGACGAGACCGGCGAGCTCGGCCCCGTGGCCGGCTGGATTTGGGAGGGCACGTTCCAGGAGGTCGAGATCGAGACGGGCCGGCTCCTCTTCGAGTGGCACGCCTCGGAGCATTTCGCCTTCGAGGACGTCGAGCGCGGCCGCGAGGCCGGGCAGGGCGCCTCCGCGGACCAACCCTGGGACTTCTTCCACATCAACAGCGTCGACAAGGACCGGCGCGGCAACTACCTCGTCTCCGCGCGGTACGCCAACTGTCTGAGCTACGTCGACGGGCGCACGGGCGAGATCCTGTGGCGGCTGGGCGGGAAGCGGAATAACTTCACCGATCTCACCTCCTCCTCCCCGGCGCCATCATTCGGGGATTCAGCAGGCCCCGCCACGAACTTCACCTGGCAACACCACGCCCGCTTCCGCGACAACGACACCGCCATCACGCTCTTCGACAACGCCTCGCGCGGCCTCGGCGCCCCCGCCCGCACCTCCCGCGGCCTGTACCTGGACCTCGACCAGACGCGCCTCACCGTCCGCCTGCGCCACCAGTACTCGAACGCCCCCGACCAGGCCCTCAGCAGCCAGAGCCAGGGCAGCCTGCAGCTCCTGCCCAACGGCAACGTGCTGGTCGGCTACGGCTGGAACGCCGCCTGGACCGAGTTCTCGCGCGCCGGCGAGCCCCTCTGCCATGTGCACTTCGGCCCCCAGCGCGAGTTCGGCCTCGGCAATATCCTCTCCTACCGCGTGTTCAAGCAACCCTGGCGTGGGGCCCCGCGCACACGCCCGGATTTCGAGGTGTATCGGTATCGCGCCGCCGCGAGTTGGAATGGGGCTACGGAGGTGGTGGCGTGGGGGCTGGAGGGGACGGATGATGTTTCTGCTGAGCGGCAGCAGCAGGGGCAGCAGGGGCAGATGGGAGAAGCGGGGGCTGGTGGTGGTGGTGGTGGTGGGAGTGGGAGTGGAGGGGCCGCCGCCTTTGCGAGAGTCACGACCGTGCCTAAGGTGGGGTTCGAGACTGTGATCCCTATCCCGGAGGATGCGACTGCGTACAGGTATCTCCGCGTGCTGGCGCTGGATGCCTCGGGCCACGTGCTGAGTGCGTCGAAGCTTGCGCGCTGGGATCCGGCGGCTGAGGAGGCGGTTGTGGTCTCGGGGGTAGATGGGGATGAGGACGATGGACTAGGGCGGTTTGGCACTAAGGGGAGTACAGCTGTGGTCGGGCTCTTGGGTTGTGCGCTGCTCCTCGTTGTCGCTGTTTGTCTCGTGCGCCGACTCGGATTCCTGTTCCGGAGGACTGCGCTCCGTCGGGTGAATGGTCGGGAGCGGGGAGCCTTCCGGCCCTTGAAACGCTGGGACGCGGAGGACGAGGGGTGTTTGAGCGATGTTGAAGGTGGGGAGGGGGTGGAACTCTCGACTCTGTTGGGACATCACCGGATAGGCTCTCTTCCGGACAGAGAGGATGAAGATCATCGAAGCAGGAACATGAGACCCGGGGTGCAGGTGTAGCCCATCAGATTGCTTTTGAGACTGGGAAGCAATGTTTGAGCGACTTAATCAGCTTCAATAGAGTATAGAATGCATATGCTATGATGGTTTGGGACAACTTTGTTCATAAGTTACGGACCTCCAGTGGAAGGAGCACAATCACTACATGGGCCAGGTAACAACTACACCTCCTGCAAAGTGAGAAAAGACCCAAGGCTCGAGAATTATTCATTTCGTAACGAGTGCATAGCTAGCTGAGACCGCTAGCCTGATAATTTCAGTGAGATTGCTCACAGGAAACAATTTTCCCCGTTCAGCTAGGCAACGAGGAACTCAAGCAGAGGCCACTTGCAACCGGCGGAAACCGCCCTGGTCAGCCACCTCCTTCTGCAATTCAGCCATGCGCTTCTGGTCGCCCAGCGGATCGGTGGAATCGGCATCCAGATCCCAGGACAGGAACTCATTGGTGTAGTTCGCCTGGAAGTCCGCGTCCAAGATTCCCAACCGCTTGCCGTAGTTGGTGACCTTGTTCCAGTCGCGCTGGACGTTCTTGAGGTCGCGGCTGAAGTACGCGAACGACCGTTCGAAGATCTGCCGGTTGACCGGGGTGCCCATGATGGGCTTCATGGCGACATACTCCTCGAAGGCCTGGGCGGGCTCAGCAAGGACGTACTCGGTGGCACGCTTGACAGCATTCATGAACTTGCGAACGCGCTCGCCGTTGGCCGCCAGGAAGGCGTCGTTGGCGATGTACAGGATGGAACAGAAGCAGCAACAGCCAAGCTCCGCAAGCTGGTCGATGCGCAGCATCTGCACGTCGGTGCGCGGGCGGTTCTGGCTCGCCAGCCAGTCGGCCAATTCGACCATCTGCACGTTCTCGAGACCAATTCCCGCGTCAATTGTGCCCTCGATGATCGCTTTGGTCACGTTCATGCCGCAGCGCACAGCGGTGTAGTCGTCCGCCGTCATGCCGTAGTACTTGGTCAGCTCATCGATTTGGATCTATGATTATCAGTTAGCGTAGGGCACGGGAGGGGGGTGGTCTGTATTGTACGCACCTTGCCAAACTCGCCAACATAACCAATCCTCTTACCCTTCAGAGAGCGGAAGTCTTCGGTGATCCCGCTACCCTTGAGGTAAATGACTCCAGTGAACGGCTCATCGAGGAGAGAGCCAATCGAGGTGACAGGGAAGTTACGAGCTTTGGCCTGATCGCATTGGTTAGCAACCAGCAGAAGCTGTTGATCTGGAGAGCACATACGGCCAGAGTGTGGATCATGGCCTTGAAACCCATGTCAACCTTGCCACTGCCGATAATCTCGGTGACATCGGAGGGGTCATTGGGTTCGAGCAGGGCAACCTTGAGGCCCTCCTCTTTGAAGAAGCCTTTGCTCTGCGCAAGGTAAAGGGGGGCGTGGTACGGGGTCGCGTGCCTTGAAACACAACAGTTTTAGCAGGGATCCCACATATAAGGCTACCTGTAAGAATTATTGTTGCGTACCAGTTGGTCAGGAAGGTGATCTTGTCAGTAGACATCTTGGCACAGAGTTCAAGTCAAGATCAAAGTACTGGACATTGTCAGCAATGGGGAGACAGAGCCCCCCTTTCCATTTTGTGCATAGGGGCATGGAACAATCAATGCCACGCATGTCCTTTCGCTAGTATTATCTAGATCAAGTTATGACAGTATAATCTCAGAACGACCGAGTCCCCGCCCGATCCAGAGAGGAGGACGGAGACTCGAGTCGAACACCTGTCATGCGCGAGCTGTGACTGCCATTATACTAGTACGATACCTTGATCCGTCTGAACCCCTAGCGAGAAGACTCGGAAAGTCATCCTGATTGCGTAGCTTCATTGTGAGTCGTACCGGAGAATAGTGTACGGCGGGAATTGGAGATTAAATTGGGGTTTTGAAGAGTGGAATGAGAAGGATGAAAGGTAGAAGAGAAGATAAGAGAAGAGAGAGGGGAACGGAAGTATAAGTAGTAGGAGAGGGAGGGGAGGGGAGGGAGGGGAACAGGGAAACTGATGTGGAAACGAACCCCCACCACCATCACATGTACAGTACAGCACGTACTGTGCTGCCATACTACCACTACCCTCTCACCGAAGCGCGATTCTCCGCTCACCAGCGATAATCCCAAAGTCTAATTGGGCTGGATCTCTCAATGTCTCAATGATCCTGGCTGGTGTTGATCCTCTCGCAGCTCCCCGCTCCGAAGACCCGCACCACAACTCTCTCCCTCTGTGTCCATTAATCCATTAAATGACTCAACCTCTTGGCGTCTCGAGGACAATCACCACTGTGAACTCCTTCCCCTCCGGTTTCGGACTACAGTCCCTGTGTATTTGCCTCTCCATGTCTACCACCAAGTGTCACCATAGAAATACTGGCTATGGACGGAATGGTTCAGTGCATTCGAAGTATCTAATCTCCAATCTGTGTAGTGACTGAGTAGAGAGGATGTACAATCGAGGCATGCGAAGGAGACGGAACATATCAATATTAAACAAGGGGGTGAAAAGAACCAAACTAATGGAACACGGCAAACGGAACGATGCGCTGTATTCAGGACCTACAAATCGAGACAATTCGACAATAGTCAAAACTGCAAGCATGCTCGGACGAAGGCAAAGGACTGGCACAAAATGCAACAACTACATAACAATGTGTTTCACATGAAGGAAAGAAGTACTTGGGTGTCGGTTGGTATCGTATAGACAATCAATCATGCATCACCATTCAACGAAAGCCGGTCGAGTGGGGAGGCAGGCCGATCGGTGGCTTTCTTCGTTCGGAGAGTAAGAGGAAAGTAGTGGTCATCTGGCTCTTCTTCCTCGCTGGTCCTGTGCATTGAAAACTGGTTAGCGACTGCATGTTCTCCACAAGTATCAGGGCTCGACTTACGGAAGTCGCCAAGCAACATAGTCCTCCGTGCTGAGACCTTCCTTGACCTCCTGGAGGGAGGCGAAGTCTCCCGGGGTCATCATTCCAGATCGGTCCCTTGGAGATCCAGGAACAGAGAGGGGACGCGAGATCTTCTGCTCTGTGCCCCCGATGATATCGTAAACGTCCTCTCCGTTTTCAAACGACGAAGGATAAGCTACAAACGCTGATCAGTACCTAATAGTGAGTGACCAAGTAACGAGGGAAATACACACCTCTCCGCAGAGCAAGCTGCCGGGCCTTAACGTACTCCAGACCCATCCGCTTCCAATCCAAAAGATCGCTCAATCTCTCGGTCCGGTTTCTCTGGTTGATCCGTTGTCGCCGGCTTTTTTGAGTAAAGTTCAACATAAAGTCCGTAAGCTGGTTCACAGAGTCATCCACCCCTTTCATGCGACGGTCCACAATATAGATACCGTAGTCGGACGAGTTCTCGATCAATTCCTCCATATAGCAACCGAAACCAGAAAGGTTGGTGGTGATGCTAGGAACGCCCATCACCGTACACTCGGCAGGGGTGTATCCCCACGGCTCGTAATAAGAGGGGAAAACTCCAAGGTGGGTGCCGCGCACAAAGTCATCATAGTCAAGCGGCAACACTGGGTTGGAGGAGTTCAGGAACTCAGGATGGAAAACCACCTTGACTCGGTCCGACGAGTGGTTAAATAACTGCACCCGACGGATCTGATTCAGAATTGGGTCTTCGTGGTCATTAACCATATTGTGGGTAACGATAGGCGGCAGGCCGTGGCGCTTCATGGCAAAAAGCCGACGGCGCAAAAGAACGCGATCTTGACTCGTAATCAGGTCCTTCTCATCCGGCATGTTGTCGCCCTCTTTCCATGCCAAAGAGCGCTCATACATGCGCTTGCCAATGCCCTGCTCGATGTTATGGATGGTCTCCCGAAGCGACTTCACGACAGCTTGGCCCTTCAGCGACTCGACAGTGAGTGACGAAGTCTGAGCAGGCATGATGATGAAGGCGACGACCGTTGTCTTTGATCCGCTCGCCTTGAGGCGGTGGTTGAGACGCGCCAGACTTTCGATGAACATATCCACACCTTTGTTGCGGAACTCATAGCGACCGGCAGTAAAGACATACAGAGTGTTGTCGAGATCGAAGTCGTTGTGGCCGTAGAAATGTCCACGAACGAAGTCATTGATCTTCTCCTTCGATTGCGAGTGCAGGTTCTGGAACTCATGAACAGCTGAGAACTTCTTCACATTCAGTCCGTTCGGTAGCACACCATCGGGCTTCCGCTTGAGCAAGTGCTCGCTTTCGAAGGCAGTGATGTGAGAGACGGTTGTGAAGACATCGGCCGTGTGCGCTGCAGCCCGCTCGATACAGTATCGATGGTAGATGCCGCGCTTACCGGCCTCTGCATCGACGTCAAAGTGCTGCAGATTGTTGTAGAAGTCTACCGACCCTGCGCATAGATAGCGACCGAGCAGTGTGGCGTGGGTTGTGAAGATCGTGGTTAGGTCCATATGGCGCCTCTTCGTCAAAGGAAGGGCAACACCAGCAAGCCACTCGTGGAAATGAGCCACAACTGCTTTGCGACGTTCGTGTGCGATGAACTACAACACTTGGTTAGCACTTTCCTTTATGCTTGTGGGACTTCTCAATCGCATACTTCACCCAGGAACCATGCTACCAAGTAGCCAAACACAATGGTCTCATTCGTTTCGGTATCTCCTGCGGGAGAGGGAATTCCGGCCGTATTCCACAGGTCTCCCTTCCACTCGTCCAAGTACTTGTAACCAGTTGAAGTGTCAATGAGTAGCACACGAGGGGCACCTTCAATCAGCCAGCGACCATAGACAATCTCAATGCCACGCTCTTTCATGGACTGGATTGTCTCAATCAGTCGAGGGTTCGATGGAGTCAATTCCTCGACCTCAACCGCTGCGGAGGCTCGGTTGAGCGGTCCGATCAGGGTGTATCGTTCACCATACTCGGCGGTGGTGACGGGAGCTTTAGACTTGAGGACGGAGTAGATACCTCCCACCCGATTGGCGACCTCAGTTGCGATCTCAAAGAGTAGGTGGTTGCGAACATCTCGCTTGGGAGGATCTTGACCGTTGTCTTCGCTCGCCATTGTGCGCCAAAAGAGCTGTGTGGGTGCAATAAAGCGGGTGCGGAGGAAGCTCTAACGATAAGCTGTAGAGGAAGAGAATCCGACGATGAGCTACTTAAACTCACGTCAACACACTCTTGGTGACGGAATGGGAGGGGTTTGGGGGGGGGAAGAGGGGAAGAAATGTAGAGGGAAGAGCAAAGAAGTAAAGAAAAAGAAGAAGAAGAAGAAAAGAGAGAGAAGAAAATCTCCAGGAGGAGATGGTGACGTGCGGGGAGAAATACAAGGTGGGTGGCGGGGGGAGGAGAAGAGGGAGAGAAACAGGCAGGCTTGCTGCTGCTACTCCTACTAGTATACTAGTAGTACCGTACAGGACGGAGTTCAAGGTCCAATACGGAGTTCACAACCGCTAACCTGCCAGGCGAAATCCTGTCATTTCCTTAATTTGCGAGGTTGCTAGGGACAATTTAAAAACCCCCCCAGCACAGGGAGGGGAAGGGCAGAAATTAACTTCCTTTCCCTTCATTTCCTACTACCCTTCATTCAATTCTGTTAAATAAGATGTCCTTCGTGTTGTGTCTCTGTCGCTCTGTCGAGCTCACCGGGAGCAGGTTGGGCTAACAGCTGAACTAACCTTTGAAACTAAAGGTTGGCGTTGCACGGACGCATCCCCAGTTCTGGCCTCGGCCTCTTCTGGAGAATCTCTGGAGTGCTGGGAAGCTTGGAAGAGGGACCCCCGGCTAATGACAACCCCCGGTTGGTCCCGTCAATTGCAGAATCATCCGACCAGATGATGATCCGTGGAAAGCGTTGCAACAAGACCACTCCATCGAAGCTCAGACCTACGTTACTCTGCTGCTGCTACTGCTGCTACTGCTGCTACTGCTGCCGCCGTCTGCGAGTTTTACGTTTTGTTGCCTCCTCCCGAACAAGGATAGGGGAACAGGGGGGTGGTCTCATTTGTTCATTTTACGTGACACACACAAGGGAACGATCGATTTCCGCCATGGTCGAGCGAAGGAGGGGGTGAATGAGGAGGCAAGCGGTGATCTCGTATCAGGGAAAATGCCCCCATCCCAATGGATGTCCCCATCAGCAATTGTAACGGTGTCGTTCCTTTTTTTTATCTTTTTTTTTTTTTTTTTATTTTGGTTCCCCTCTCTCAACAACGTATGAATTGTACTGTACCTACCGTACCTCAAAAACCAAAGTTTGTCTCCGCTTGGCTCCGGCAGCCGGATTAGGTAAAAAACTGGGTAAATCTGGGCAAATCTGGGGAAAGCTGCTTCGTACCCTGACGTCACCGTCCACCCGCCCACCGCCTCACGGTCCTCGCTTGCCAATCGTGCCGTCTTGTTGTTTTTAATCTGATGCAGAGCAGCCACCCCTCGTGCTGCAAATCTTCCATGCTGACGGCACTCATGCGCCATTCAAGCCTACTGTGTTCTCCTCTCTTGTATCTTTTTCTTCCGAGCGACAAACAATAGCATTCGTGGTCACCAGTTCGCGCAATTGAGTTCGCCATGATTCACTTCCAACTCATACACTCCCGAAACTCGCTCTTACCGCTCCGTCTTGGATCTTCAGACCTTCAGTAGCAGGACATTTAACAATGCCATGGCTGTTCCTCAGCCGGATCGACCAGAAATGTTTTGCGCGGCATCTCTATCGGATTCTCAAAGGAATTGCGCGGTAGGCGCTGTGCCAGGAGTGACTTGAGATTCCCCAATGTTTCTACCTCAGTGGATCGCCGTTGCTCTTCATTTCCCATACATCTGATCTTTGGTCTTCTAGTGAGTGACTCGAGTCGCAACTCAGCCTCGCAGTCAGAGCCCATCACCCTCTTCCCCTCATCCCCGCCCCCGCTTGCCACCAACGCCGGATCATCATCCCCCATACCAACCTCCACTTATACCCACTTTGCCATCGATCAAGATCAAGCCATGCCTATGAAGCCAATTCAGAGCCACTTTCGGGGCCTTATATCGAAATCGAATTGTCGAGCACCGTGGAGAGTCCTACAGGGGCTCTGGAAGTCCTTCCAGAAATCGAGCGAACCTCCTACGCCTCAACCGGACATCAAACAGGTCAACAATCGTGTATCGCCCGACTCGCAGGCCATCAACTATAACGGCATCTCAGCCCTCGTCGAAGGCGGATACATGCACGTACCCCCACAAAGGCTCGTTGTTGTCAATCCTGACCCGGAGTCCGAACCTGCGGACAGCATCCGCTCGCTACGACCGTTCTTCTCATCTACAATGCGATCGAGCTCTTATACCCACTCTCTGTCCTCCACGCGAAGCACTCGTCCAGAGAGTCGCCTGTCGAGCGTCGATACCAGAGCCACGAGTATCTTGTCCGAGTCCCAAGAGAGCTCTTTGTCGTTCGACTTGGACCACGAGGAGGTCGATTTATTCTACCATATCATTTTCAACGGACTGAGGGTCCAGATCAGCCGCAACCGAGTGCCCCAGGCGCTAGGCTGTCTACCTGACAGGTCGGATTAGTTTAGGGCGGCGGTGTTGGGCGTTTTGGATCCAAGCTAGGCCCCGGCGTGGTTTCGGTCGGTGGAATGCATTAGCTTGGATTTGGTTCTTGTCACGTCGTCAGATACCCTTGCATACTGGAGTTTAAGGTCCACTTTGAATTGGATGCAGTTACCACATTAGTATTAAGTAAAGATCTCAGTCCGTTACACGTAGGGCCTCGGCCAGTTCCGGAGCAGCAAACAAGCCCAAGTCATCTATGAGGATCTATCATCTCCGCGGCCGCGTTATCCTCGCTGCACTGATGCCCCTCACCATTTCCTCGATCTGGAAGATTCCTCTAAAGAGCACCTTCAGCTCTTGCGTCTCGACCTTCTTAACTTTTTGGCTAGCGGCAATCTAACCAGATCTTCCATAGTGCCAATATGGCTTGTCAGCTTGATTTCTGGGGGGGCCCCAGCTCTATCGCATTCACCGTCTCCGAATGCCTTTATTTGCCCACGATCCTAGTAGTCATTGAAATGACCCCTCTTTCTCCGCACCCCCAAACAAAAAGAACCAAAATAGTAACTATGCCCGCTAACGCTTACCTCTTGTCAAGAAACTTTCTAAGTATTGTCGCGGTTCACAGTACTAGGTGGTTGTTCTGGCCAACGCTGCGACCGGCCCATCTCCGCCGCACGAGCTACCTACTCCGCAATGGCCCCATCCATCAACAATCCAGATTCCAGACCTGCCTAGCATCCTCACTAAACCCCTCCTCCAAGCGTTGACATTGACAAACAACAACTACTACACCACCACCACCCAGCCCCCGGCCTTGGCCATGGCCATGGCCATAGCCACGGCCCTGACCTTTCCCCGTCCCCCACCATCGCCTCGTCCTCCTCGCACAAACGCAAAGGCCATCCATGACCCGACCGAGACCGAAATCGTTGTTCCCCGGTGCACGCACACGCAACCCCCCACGGCTCACGATCCCGATCGCTTTTCCCCTTCCCCCCCCCGCCCAAGCCGTTTGCGGTATCGGTACAGCGCCCTCCGTACCGCACTGTCCACGGTCAACGTAACCATAACCAAGGCCATCATCGCCCTCTTGGCACCCGTCGCCTGTCGCCTGTTACTCGGGAAACCTGGCCCTCTCTACATGCGCGCTCCGTGTTTCTCGCCCCGGTTCATCCCGGGCTAAGACGGTTGCGTGAGCGGAGGAAGGGGATGTGGGAGGTGAGACCGGGGTCGGAGCCGGTCGCTTGCGCATACCGGGTTGCTTTCGCTGTGAAGCCGAGGGTGCGCGGGAAGTGGAGCCCCGGGGCTGGGGGGGTTTAACAGGTTGTGAGGGAGCGGGCTGGTCGGCGATGTGAATTGGTCTGAGGGGTTAGAAATTGCGGTCGATGGGATTGGGTAGTAATTGGGGTTTGTGTCTGGATGGGAGGGAGGGAGAGTACGGGCAGAATTGGGGGAGGGGAGCTGCTGCTGCTGCTGGGGTTGGATTGTGATCATGGCTTGTGTTCTTGTGGGTTGTCAGCTGGAACGGTTGTAGTGTTGTAAGCTATACATCACTGGGTGGTGGGTATGTGTAGCTCGGGATTGAGTTTTTAAATTCCCATTGTCTAGTACTAGTTTTCGACACTGCTTGATGATCTAAGGTGAGGCTTCACGGGTTTCTGTGTCGCAAATATGGAAGGGATTGGGAAAATCGCCGGAACAAAGAGACACAGAAGGGAGGATGGTGATACTACATGTAGACCTGAAGTTTGAATCTCAACTAAAAAACGGCACGGGTGCCAACTGGCCATCTTGGGTCTGGACCTCGCAGCCATTAACAACCAGCGGTAACAATTGTTCCGATCACTTAATGAAATATCGGTGTGCTAACCCTAACACGAAGTTACTCAGATCCAAGATCATTGAGATCTAGATCAAATCGGAGGTCTCAAAGGATCCCTTCAGTGTAACCCGACCCTTTTCCCAGCTGCAGGAAACCCGACCCTCGGACTCCCGCCTCCAATTCCGGATCCCGTGCTGTGCACTCCAATTTACACACTTTCCGCTCGCCAGCCTACGACCACATCAGTCACGCAGATACGTAGTCCACCTCCAATTGAATGCGCAATGAAATCAAAGCGTTAACATGTCTTACCCCTCGCCGATCACTACCATGTCCAACACGCAGCGAAGAGGATGGAAGACTGAGCGAGAGAAGTGACTGTACCTGATCTCAGACCGGGTCCCATGAAGTCATTGGGTGGGGATAATGACTTCATGATGCTGTCAGCACTCGACGTGCGCATCCCAGAATCAATGAACACATCACCACCAGACTCAACATATAAGATCCCTTGCTTTCCTTACCGTCTTCATCGCAATCACAAGGACAACGACTACGAAACTCCCAAACTCTCAAACTACCGTAAGTCATCGCACGACTCGCCCATTATCGAAGCAGCAACCAAGCTAACTCGATCCCAACCCCAGCAACTAGACCATCTACCTCTCTACCTTTTTCAACCACCACCACCACAAACCCACCCACAAAATGCCTCGCGGAGCTGAATACGACGACGGTGTCCCCCACAGCGACAACGCCATCGAGGCCGGCCAGACCAAGGTCCACGGCACCAACCCTGATGTAAGCCCCCCTCCCCTCTCCCTTCTGTTTTTGTACACACAACATCGAACGAACAACCACTAACACCTCCCAAAAGAACGACACCCTCAACCGCGCCCAGCGCACCGCCCCCCTCCCCGAAGAATCCGGCCAGGCCAGCGGCTTCATCAGCGCCCAGGGCAGCTCCGGCCCCAACAAGACCGGCAGCGGCAAGGGCGGCCACGAGCCCAACACCCTCGGCGGGAAGAAGGGGACCGGTGCCCTGCCCGGCCAGTAGATCGGTGGCTGGCTGCATGACCAGAAACCTTTCTGATAGCATTGGAGTTTTCGGGAGATGATGAATCGTTTTTTTTTTACACAACGGCTTACGATTGACGCGGTTGCCGGGTGGGTTATGTGATATCCTGCTTTTGGATGTATGATTAGATGCTTTTTTTGTCCCACTTGTGAGGTGTGGATGATGATGATGATGATGATTGATCGTCTGGTTACGACGACGGGTGCCTACTGGTTAGGGGCTTAGATTAATGGACTTTGTTTGTTCATTGGATATTCTTGCTCGTGTTCTCTAGGGGGGGTTGTGGGGAAGGGTTGTACATGAAGTAGTTGTGGATTAGACTATGTTCGGGTGCCGACACTTGCGTAGGATGTTGCAGCTTTGGTCTTGGAGTTGAGTTTGGGCAGTTGGAATGTTGTTTGGGGGAAGTATATGACCGAGTTATGCTAAGAAGGTGTACTTGACGGGGCCTGTGCAGGGGTGTTTCTAGAGTTTGTAAGAGAGATTCTATGTAGGTGCATGAATTAAGTATGTATATATAGAAGAAATGGCTCACTGGAGCTGCTGCCCCAGTAAGCGAGAGCATGTCTCCTGACTGCACTCCTATGTACGCTAAACGAACAGTCAATGAGGTCAGACAGCCTCACGCCTCCATACACTGAGCAACGGGATCTGAGCCAAGGGATCGATACAAGGCCAATGTATATACTAGCCAGACAGCTACTTCTGGCTCCGGCCAGTGTCGGTGGTCTCGGACGACCCCTTCGATGAACTCCCGTCGACCGGGCTGGACTCGCGTGGCTCCGTGACAAGGCTTTTCTGTTGCACCAGCTCCAAGAGTCGCTGGCCCAGATCGCCAAAGCCGTCGATCTTGCTCAGCTTGCTTTGGAAGTGCTCCGCATCACGTTGCAACCTGCAAGCTTGTGTTAGCTGCGTCCGTCTTCTCGAGGCAGTTCGTATCTTACCGTTGCTTGGCCGCCTCCGAAGTCACCTTGACCTCGTCAAAGGCTTTCGTCCACTGCTCGCGGTAGCTCTTGAACACAGGATCCATGATCATCATGACGGTCATGTCGGGAAGATGCTTGCTCAGCACCCGATGCAAGGTGCCCGTCTCCTTGGCCAGCGTCTCCATGTATGGGCTTACAATGGTGGATCCAGCAGAAGCATCCCAGTCGATCTTTTTCATAGCATTCACGTGGATGGCAGATCGTGACCCCATGATGTCAACCAGCTTCTCATGGATGCCGTTCTGGTGCTCCTGATACAGCCGCTTCACTTTGTCGAACTCGCCCAGCAGCGGAATCGAGGGCGCATGTCGGCGGACAAACTCGCGGACATAGGGAACCAGCGCAATGATGAAGCTTAGTGCCTGCGAGGATAGAGCCAGGTGTTTCGTGGTGATGTTTTTTAGCCCCGCACTTCTCGTGGCGCCAGCACCCAGGATCAGCTGCGAAGACCGGGAGTTGAACAGCTTCAATGACTCCAGAAGCCCGGGTGCAATGTCCTGCATCATACTAGGAATATTCGCCATGAGGAACTGGAACTCTTCGATGCTCCTCATCATCGCCACCCCGGATTCGGTGAGAATGTACTTCTGCTCGTCGATCACCGCACTCCGCAGCTTCTCCTTACCCGTACCATTGGTTGTGAACGGCGCTGTAGGTTTCGGTTCCTGGTGTCCGTTTGAGGACAGCCAAATTTTGGATGCATCGGTCCAGAGCTCGATATCTCGCGTACTTGCGCTAAGTATCCGGTCCAGGATAGCGTTCTCGTCCTCTCCGAAGTCCCGTGCGTCCCATTTGTCAGAATCCATAACTTCGACAATGCGGCGCCGTTGGCTGTCGCCAAACCGGTTGATGTAATCTCGAATCTGATTTCCCACAACCGTTTTCAATGCGGCACCGCCTCTACCGGAGATAGCCTCACATTCGTCCGCAAAGAGTCGGTTCAGTGTAAAGTACTTGAGGAAGTCTTCCATCGGCAACTGAGATGTCTGTTCCGAGCGAACTTTCAGGACCTTAACAACTTGAGACTGAGCAATGTCAACCGCTTGGCCAAGAAGACTGGACATGTCCAGAACCTGTAGAATCTCATCTTGCGCCATGAGGGCCGCAGTCCTCTCTGCTTCCAAGGCCGGAGTCGTCGGGCCTTGCGGGTTTGGGCTTGGGGGACCGGAGCGCACACCCAACGAGACAGGGTTTCCCAATCCACTCGCGATATCCAGAAGAACTTTCACTTGAACACTGAGTCTTCTCAAAGATTCACTGATCCCAGTGTATACCTTGGCTAGCATTTCATACGAGTCCTGAGCGTCCAAGGCGCGGAGGTTGCGCGCAAGGATCGACGACTTTTCTTGTTGACTAAGCTGTTGGGATTTGTGCGTGGACACTGACACCACCGATTCACTGTCGTCGTCGCTGGAGCTGGGCATATGCTTGCGGATAAGACTCTTCATCTCGCGTAGAACTGCTGTCTTGAAGGAAGTCGCTGCAGGTGTTGTGTGGCGTACACGAGCAAGACCAGTGAGATGCATGCGCAGTTTCGACCGCAGTTGCTCATCAAAATTCATATAGGCGGGAGATTGCGCGGCGCCGGAGCGTGCACCGCGTTGTCGCTGGAAAGAGAATCCCCATCGCTGTAGCGTAGTATCTAGCGGTACATCCTCAACGTGCAGTCTCAGGTCGCCGAGAAGGTCACTTAAGAAACGGCTCTCATAGCCGCTACCAATTCGAGATCTTAGTTGGTCCAAGTCCTCAGACGCACCTTCGAGCGCTTTCAGTCGCCGTAAGTCGACCGTCCTCTTCGATTGTTGCTGTTCTTCGTTTGTCTTTAATGGACTTGCAGCCTGTTCCCCCGCCATCAATCTCTCCACCTCTTCAAGGCCATCGGCAGCCTCCTCGATGTTACCATTCTCGACGAGCGCTTCACAACGGGAAACTGACTCGACCACATCGCGGAGCTGTGCCGCGGCATCCGCCAGCATACGTACATTTTCCCTCCGTCGCCGCAGATTCACAATCTTGAGACCCCCTAAAGCCATCTCACGGTCGATCTTCTGTAGGTCCTTCCGCAAGACTTGGATGCGTTTCACCGAGTCGGCGGCTTCTGCATGGAGCTCCCGCAAAGACCCGAGTGCGGTAAAGAAAGATTTAGAAGCCGTGGAGATAGAAGAGATCAGGTGAATTTCCACGGTGTCCATGTACCATGAAAGCTTTTCTTGCAATATAGCATTCGTAGCGAGAGCCTTCCTCCCCGTGGCAGCTGACTCCACGGCGGCTCCATTCTCCGATTTGTCTTTGGAAGTTATGATTCCAGACTTCTCCGACACCACATCGAACGTTCGCGGATTCTCGAGACGGAAGTCATCCTCGAAGTATACTGTGGGGATTGTGGACAAGGGAGTAACGGCTTGACCCCGACCACGGCCAGCGTATGACCGCCTCCTGCCCCGCGTATCATATGGAGAGGTCGCTCGAGAGTGATTCGATAGAGTCGACGGTCGGCGTTCCCGCGATGCAGGAGCCAAAGAGTCCGAATCTTCCGGCTTCGGTGAGGCCTTGCCCCCTGCCCGCACTAATTGCGAGTCCTGCTCTGTATTGCTTTCTTTGGCTTGCTGGAAGGCATCATACAACGATCCAACTTGAGAGAGATATGATTCGAACGCTTTAGAGTCCACATGTGGGATATTGGTCAAGGTAACAGGAGGAATGTCACGAGTCGTCGGTGGTTTGTATCCGGCGGTGCTAACGGCGGTATGAGGCACAAGACCCGTGCGGACAATCGGAGGCTGCAGGAGAGTAGAGATTGCTGTCGTTGAGAAATGAGGTTAACCTTCAGTGTTCGAAGTAGAGTAAACTGGGCCGTACCATTCTGTCCAGATTCAGCGATAGACCCATGGCGGCTGGAGGGATCCAGAATTCCCCCAATGCTTGCGATCGAGCTTGCGGTTGATCCTCTCCTTAAGGGGTATCTTTGTGATGAGATCCGAGGGGATTCGATCTGTGTGAATGAGAACTGAGATAGAGAAGGAGTTGAGGCGCCTGAGGCCAAGCTGTCAATCGACTTCCGGGGACTGGCAGAGGACATATTGATGCCGATTTGGCGACTGACAAGTCCCGCGGTCACCGTGCTGTTGGGGAAGGGAACACTATGTGAACATGACAAGTGGACAGTTGTGGTATAGCAAGAAAGAGACCGCCAGCAGTACACTAACAAGCAGTGTTCACCACTAGGAACCAGGATTGAACGGCAAGAGAGGGCAAGCTTGGAGCAAATTGGAAGCAATTGACTCTTGCTGCAACGTCACCCAGCTCCATCTGATACGGGGGGGGTTCATGATAGCTCGAACCCGATCGGGTAAGGCGCCAGGCCCCGGGAATGAGGGATGACAAAGACCCATCCGAGCCCCCTCGGAACCCGGGCCTGGGTTGTTCCGTAACTAAATTGATCTTTGCCTTAGGCCAAAACCACTTAACGCGTGAGACCGACGCGACGCGTTCCATTCGTGTGCCGTTGCTCAGGAAGATATTTGCAGTTTCTCCTCGCAACGGGATACACCGAAAACCTACACACCTCATCACAACTGCCACCCCCACCTCTTGTCACTGCCGTCACCACCATGGATAGACGCACCCCCTACACTCTGAGCGTCCTCGCTCCCAGCGTCGATGGTGTCGATGACTCTCGCAGTCAGATCCAAGCGAAATTGAGGGAGTTCGTCTTGGAGTTTCAGTTGGATAATGCATTTATCTATCGGTTTGTTGACGCCGCCGCCTTGTATGCCACATCTTGATATTGACTTGCCATCGCAGTGACCAATTGAGACAAAATGTCTTGGTCAAGCAATACTATTGCGACATTGATATTGCACACATGATCTCGTACAACGAGGAGCTGGCCCACAAGCTCACCACCGAGCCTGCAAACATCATCCCCCTCGTAAGCCCATCGATTCCTTCTTAGGTCGAGACAGCTCTAACCAGTACTCCTACCCACTTCAG